CTCGTTCGAAGGAAGAGCAGTATATTAAATTGACCATAGCAAAATCAAATGCAAAAAATAAATTACAATAACACACTCACTCACTAGATAACAGTTCGATTTCAAACATGATTTTACTTGTATTCTCTTGGCAAAGACAGTTTTTACTTACCGTTTTATTTGTAGATGCACAATCCGATGCAGAGGAAGCAGGTCGTCTTGCAACGCATGTCTCCGATGCACTGGCAGTAAAACTTTCCCTCGCAAGTTTAGCGCACACCAGATTTACTCTGATTTATTACATTAACATACTGTTGAAGGCACGTGTGCTGTTGCTTCACGTTCAGCAGCCCACAATGCATTGCAAATTACAGTATAAAACTGTATTACAGTAATACAGTATATTACTGTTGGAAATTGGCCGTAAATTTACAGCAATTGCTTACAGTGTAGTCTTAGACTGACCTTTTGATATAGGCATATAAAAATGTGACTAACCTAAGTTTTAAATATGATATTGTATTAGTATTTGCACTGCATTATTTGAAGATCCTATATTACAAAAAAAAAAAAAGATTGTGAGCTTTAATTCATGTTATAAATTTTTTATCATATTGTATCAAATTGTTGTATACACATGTTTACGGTAATCTTTTTAATTAGTTTGTCTACATCTCCAAAGCTCATAATGCTTTGTTCCACCTTGTGATGTCATGAAGTGGTTGTTTTAGCTACTTTTTACCTTTTTTTTGCGATCAAATTTTTATAGCTTCTGTTTACCTTTTCTTCAGCAGAGACTGGCAATTTCAGAAATCATTCAAATGATCCTACTGAAGGCATTAGAATAATTTAAATGATTTCACTGTGAAGGTGTATGGAAACGCAGTGGGGCACTCCCTGCATTATCACATGACATCACAAGGTGGAACAGAACGTTTTGAGAGAAGAACTCAGCCTAAATTTGCAGGGGTTGTGTTAAACATTGTGTGTATGAAACAAAACACAACTTCACGTATGTTCTTGATGAGGAAACATTATAACACAGATCAGAAAATAGTGTACTATAATCCCAAACCGCTTTACGAGTACAAAGCATTATTCATTCACCCCGTTTTCTGTGGCGGTTAGCTGCCTAAAGACACAACTGCACTTTTACCATTTAAAATTAACATAAAATATGCTCTTTAACTGTGCAGCCGTAAGAAAAAACTCCAACTGAGCGTAAATCAGACTCGTTTTTCCAGTGTGTACAGCTCGCTTGTCTAACCCAATTACATCTTCCCCCATAGATAGAATAGAGACAGTGTAGAACGAGGAGGTGCAATTTTTAACATGGACACTCTGCACCGGCCCATAATGAGGAGATACTAATCTGATTGTGCGAGACATTCCTAGCTCTAATCGCGTTAGGGTAAATACTTATACTATGACTCACCAACTCACCGCGACTGAGACGTTGCTCGAACCACAGTGCTCTGATAATTGCTTCCATCAGTGGAGTTGTTTTGGATAAAAAGTACAGTTGGTGTTTGGTTAGACTTTGCAGTAATTTCGCTTTTAATAGTCTTAAAGATGCATTTTTTAACTTTTCTGGTGGAGAATTTGTCAAATGTTTATCGCGACAGAAATGTTCACAATATGGAATTTTCATGGAGACCAAACCAGACCAAGTTACAGCTCAGATCTGTGGAGAGGCGACCCCGCTCACAGTCAGAATGCCAGTTTTTCAAGGTGTTTGTGAGTTATAAAACCATCTGTAATTGAATAAATGTAAGGTTGAGCTGTTTAATGTCATACTGTGGAACATTGCAGGTAGCGCAATAACAATCAGGTGACAAATGTCCAAACAAAAAATTACATAGTGCACCTTTAAAGCTACCTTCTGTATATGTTAATTTGATTTCTTTTGTTACCAGTAGATGTCAGATATAAAACCTCCCTCCTTTCCTCACCTGACCTTTGTTCAGACTCACCTGAACAATCTAATTATAAATGACAGGTTTAATGAAGCATAAAGAAACTTAATTCTTAATGAACAAAACCTTTATTAAAGGTCCCGTAATTAGCAAAATTGACTATTGTAATCTTTAAGCCATGTTATAATGTCATTGCCACATCAAAAACATTCCTAGAATTGTGTTGTGTTTCATTGACACATTTGAGTAACGTGTTATTAGTCTGTCTGCATCTCCAAACCTCAAAATGCTCTGTTCCAACATGTGATGTCATGAAGCCGTAGTTTTTAAGTGAACATCAACCTTTTGTTCATTATAATATTAAAAAAATGGCATAATATAGGCCCTTTAAAAGACATACCATATTTTTCAGACTATAAGTTGTTATAATATAAGTTATAAGAATATAAGGCTATAAGTTATACTATAAGTATAAGTCACACTAGCCAAAATATGTGTAATGAAGAAGAAAAAAACATATGATACTGAACTATAAGTCTCACTTTTTGGGGAAATGTATTTTATAAAATCAGAGACCAAGAACTGACATTTCATCTTGAAAGGGAAGTTATAATAACAATAGAACAGAGAAGAACAGACTGAATAGGCGTTAATGTGTTAATGTAACATATGAACAGTTATTCAGATAATTATAGCATAAACAACAGAACAAAAGTTTATCAAAATCTTGATCTACTCCAAATTACTAAATCCATTGAATTCTTTATCTTCGGTGTTACTTCTGCGCGACGTCCGGAGATAAACCATAGATCCATGATGTAAACTGAGCGCCGCTTCCTCTTCTGTGTAGCTGTCGTCAGACTCAGCATCAGTTCCAGTTTGAATTATTCCGGCCTTTCTGAATCCGGTTGTCACTGAAGTTCATGCTTTGTGGATTCATCCAGTGACTTCCAGGAAAGTTACATGGTGCATCCTCCTGGTTACCGTCAAGCTGTGTTCTCCATCCCCGCTTTCCACCAGTCCCTCACAAGTTTCTCGCTCACTCCAAACTTTCTTTCTGCTGCTCAATTACCGTTTTTGGCTGAATATTTCGCTACTTGCAGCAGGACAGAGGCTTTTTCTGCAGGAGACATGCACAGTAGAGTGAAGTGACAGTGGTACAGGAGTAATAGTCGTACTAGATAATGACACACAAGCCTAGAGGCTCCCTCTTGCCGCTATCAGCGTGAAAATTTTAATATATAAGTCGCACAGGAGTATCGCAGGACCACCCGAACCATGAAAAAAAGAGCAACTTATAGTCCGAAAAAGAAGGTATATTATGCAAAATTGACATTGTATTTTCCTTCATTCATACTTGTTTCATTAATCCATTAAGGTACAGAAAATGTATTTGTATAGCACAATTCATAGACAAAATGAATTCAAAGTTATTTACAGACTAAGAAAAACATCCAATCCAAAGTAGTCTGAGAACTCAAAAATTTGCATTCTACCCAGATTGTTGCATCACAGGTAAAACCCAGATCTCTCTAGATTTATATTTTATCATACAAGGCTGTTTTTGAATCTCTTGCTGTTACTTCCACAAACTCATTCATTGTGGAAAGCTGTAGATTGTGGACAGGGTCAGCTCTGTGTGGCTTGTGTCATATGGGAGAGACCAGTACATTTGCCAGACTTCTATTGTTTCATAAAAATGTGCACACTAAAGATAAGGGTGAATTCTATCTGTAACTGTACTTTCCAGCAACAAGGAAGTATTATACAGTTACTGCCGTTGTTGTAAAAAATTTTAAACTTTAAGCTGTGTTAGAATGTTGTTTCCTGGACCTGTGTTATTTCATTCACACATGATTGAGTAAGCTTTTATTATTAGACAGTCTACATCTCCAAAGCTCAAAATGTTCTGTTCTACTTAATGATGTCCTGAAATGGTATTTTTCAAGTTAACAGCTACCTTTTACCTTTTATTCAGCAGAGACTGGCAATTCTATGTATAGAATTATCCAAATGATTCTAATGAAGGTGTATGGAGTTTAAAAACACAGCGGAGCACTTCTGACATCACAAGGTGGAGCAGAGTGTTTGCAGCAAGAACACTAAATGCTAAAATATGCAGGGTTTATGCATTAAACATGTGTGAATGAAACAAAACACAACTACGGCTTTGTTTTGATGAGGAAACAACTTTAGAACATGGATCAGAAATGTAACATGGGCCCTTTAAAGGAGGCGTTTGTAAATTTGGTCATATCGACACTGTATCGTCACATTAAACGATACGGTATATTTCAATATTTTTGCACACCCCTATGGAGAGGTGAATATAAAGAATATAAATTTATGTTTTTTGAGATTTTTGAGCACTTAGTTGAATAAATACTAGACAGATTAATACCATACTCTGGATACTTTAGACCAAACCTTTAACATCTCCATGGAGACAAACAGGTTGTGGACATTCTCCAGAAAAGTTACACAATGCAAACCCTGTATATTTAAGCTGCATTCTTCTCTCAAACAAAAATAAACCACCTTATTCCACCTTGTGATGTCATGTGGTAATATGGGAACTGCTCCACTCTTCCCTGAAATTGCCGATCTCTACTGAACTGAAGGTTAAAAGCAATTGTTAACTCGAAAACTACCTCTTCATGACATCACAAGGTGGAACAGAACATTTTGAGCTTTGGAAATGTTATTAAGACATATGTGCATGAATCAAACACATCTCGCGTATGTTTTTGAGGAGGTAGAACCATTCTAACATGGCGTAAAGTTCACAAGAGTTAATTTTGTTTAATCTAGAACTTTTAATATTGACATGGGAAAAATCAGATATCACTAATAACTGTTTAGGGACTATATATATATTACTATCTACACTGTGAGAGAACAATTATATTATTTTCTTTGCCACAGGCCACTCTTGATGTTGTGGTCGTCATATTGCCTCACATTTAGAAGCTTTTCTAATTAGATCAGAGCCCACTCCCCTGAAGCGATCCAAAGCTGTTATTGTTTATGAGAGCTTGAACAGATCCTCTCTGTCTGAAATCGATGAAATTATAAATATTTAATGCCTGTAATGTTGTTTTCCAGACACATCATGACGGAGCTGATTGAGACGGAGAGGCTGTATGTCGAGGAGCTTCAGAGCATCATGGAGGTAAAGGCACAACAAGGCCATGTCCCATTTCTTCTCTCTCCTTGCCTTGTCTCCTTAATAGATTGTAAAAGGCCAGTATTACCCTATTTTCAGATTTATAATGCTATTTTCTCATCAAAAAACATATCTGGGGTTGTGTTTTGTTTCATTCACACTAGAGATGCGCGGATTGCGGTTACAACCGCGGTATCCGCGGTTAATCCGCGGGTCGGGCGGATGACGTGACGAAAAATTATATTTTAATTAAATTCGGGCGGGTGGCGGTTTAACTACTAAAAAAAAAAAAAAAAAAAAAAAAGTTATTGTTAGTCAACTACATCTGAAAAGACGAGTCTCTGTCTATGCTTGTAGTATGAAGTGTACGTCATATCCTTAATTAGCCCATTTGACCTCGTGTTTATGCTCTGAAGGTTAAGGTTGTGTCGGGTTATTGATGCCTAAGGTTTACGAGGCACATATTATATGCAGTTTATTTTATTATTTCTAATTTATTTCAGCTGTTTGCCAACACATAAGTGGCTATAGGGCCATATTTATTTAGTTATGCTTTTTTTTTGTTTTGTTTCGATATCAGTTATATTTTAAAACACGCAGACATTATAGTGTAGACTACCACTCGGGGGATTTAAAACTTAAAGAAAGACCAATGGAGTGAGGCTATGACTTTGAAATAACATCGGGCAATGGCAGAATGTTCAGAATGTAACAACATCCAACATGAAGGCAAGAAGGTTCAAAAATAGCCTAGTCGGAAAACGTTGTCAATTAATTAGCTGCGCAAGAAAACCAGGTAAGTTTGGGGTTGTTACGGACAATTAAGAATGCGAACATACACGCTGAGCGAATTTTGGAATGAATGAGCTATAGAGTTTGCATTTTTATCGAGGCTCCTTAGTTTGTTTGCTGTATGATTGTTCTAAAATCTAAAATCAATCGGCGGATGGCGGGCGGGTGCGGTTTTGAAAACCTTCGGTGCAAAATGGACAGCGGGCTGATGATGAGTTTTATGTTGCGGTTGCGGATGAAAAAATAGCTCATCCGCGCATCTCTAATTCACACATGTTTTGCACACAAATCCTGCATATTTAAGCTGTGTTCTTCTCTCAAACTGAAAACACTATGTTCCACCTTGTGATGTCATGTGGTAAAACAATAAGCGCTTCACTGTGTTTTTAAACTCCAACACCTTCACTAGATTCATTTGGATAATTTCAGCTGAAGAATTCCCAATCTCTATTAAACAAAAGGTAAAACGTAGTTGTCAACTTGAAAACTACCACTTCATGACATCACAAGGTGGAACAGAGCATTTTGAGCTTTGGAGATGTAGACAAAGCTCAAAAATAATGCAAGATTACTCAAACATGTGTGAATGAAACTAAATACTCCAGGTATGTTTTTAAAAAGGCAGAATCTTTCTAACATGCCCAAAAGTCCTGAAAAGGTGTCAGCCTGTGTTTCCTAATGTGTGCATTGTGTCGCCATAGTAACTGCTGAATATTCTACCATAGACATACAAGTACATACACAGTGTTGGGGAGTAACAGATTACATGTACCAGAGTTACGTAATCAGAGTACAAATTATGAGTAACTGTATTCAGTTACAGTTACTGTTTACGTAAGCGGTAATTGGATTACAGTTACTTCATTGAAATAAATGGATTACACGGCGGTATTTTCCTGTTTTCTTGTTTTCACATTTTGGGCTATATCCCCCCGCTTTTTTTTTTTTTTTTTCCTGTAATTCCACTCATTGCCGGAAACTAAACTAGGTCTAAACTAGATCTAAACCAGATCTAAACCAGGTCTAAACCAGGTCTAAACTAGATCTAAACCAGGTCTAAATCAGGTCTAAACCAGGTCTAAACTAGATCTAAACCAGGTCTAAACCAGGTCTAAACTAGATCTAAACCAGGTCTAAACCAGCTCTAAACCAGCTCTAAACCAGGTCTAAACTAGATCTAAACCAGATCTAAACCAGGTCTAAACCAGGTCTAAACTAGATCTAAACCAGGTCTAAACCAGGTCTAAACCAGGTCTAAACTAGATCTAAACCAGGTCTAAACCAGGTCTAAACTAGATCTAAACCAGGTCTAAACCAGGTCTAAACTAGATCTAAACCAGGTCTAAACCAGGTCTAAACTAGGATCTAAACCAGGTCTAAACTAGATCTAAACCAGTCTCTAAACCAGGTCTAAACCAGGTCTAAACCAGGTCTAAACCAGGTCTAAACTAGATCTAAACCAGGTCTAAACCAGGTCTAAACCAGGTCTAAACCAGGTCTAAACTAGATCTAAACCAGGTCTAAACTAGGTCTAAACCAGGTCTAACCTAGATCTAAACCAGGTCTAAACCAGGTCTAAACTAGATCTAAACCAGGTCTAAACCAGGTCTAAACTAGATCTAAACCAGGTCTAAACAAGATCTAAACCAGGTCTAAGCCATTTCTAAACCAGGACTAAAACCAGGTCTAAACTAGATCTAAACCAGGTCTAAACCAGGTCTAAACGAGGACTAAAACCAGGTCTAAACTAGATCTAAACCAGGTCTAAACCATGACTAAACCAAGATTTAACAGGACTAAACCATGCTGTGTGGACGTGTCTCGTCCTCTTCTATCAATAATATTTTTAATACAGTTAAGTAAAGTCTGGGCTTTTCATTTTTTTTTAGCAGACAAAACATCTTATGTTACAATATCCTAGACTTTGCTTCTCTACAGCAAATCAAGTAATCCAAAGTATTCAGATTACGTTACTCACCTAAAGTAATTTAATGGATTCCGTTACAAACTACATTTTGGGGATGTAATCTGTAATCTGTAGGGGAATACATTTTAAAAGTCACCTTCCCAACACTGTTCATACAGTATAGAACTATTGTGATGTCACTGCAAAATATCAGTATGCCCCTGCCCTCCATCTGAAATGAAGAAGTCATCAAATCCTAGAACGTGAACACAACCTATTCCTCAGAAAAGGCAAGGTGACAGATGACCTAAGGAAACAAGGAGCCAATGAAGGGGAATGAGATGCAGCCAAAGTTTTGTATCTATACTATTACTACACAGCAAAAACTGGAGGGTTAAAATTACAGTGTCAAATATTTCAGAGTTGTTTTTAAGACAAAAAGTGTTATTTTAACAATTTGAAAGTTACATAGAGAAAAATCCCGCACACCGTCTTACTTGCAAATTGTGAGATTTATTAGGACAAACTGTGCAACGTTTCGGCACCAGGATGAGAGCTCAGGTGGCCAATTTAATTAGAGTGTGGCAAGCACCCAAGGGTGACAGGTCATAAAGAAACAGTGCACTCAAAACCCCATAATTCAAAAAACAAAGACAATCAACATACAGTGTAGTGAAGGGGGAAGAAAAAGAAAAGAGAGAGCAGAGAACTGATCCATAATAATAATAATGAAATATTAATAATTAGTAGAAAACTCATTGAATAATAATAGAAAAATAAGAATATCTGGATACATATAAACAGAGTAAATATTCACCCAACTATAAAATAATACTGTCGTGCCATGTACACATCTATATATATATATATATATATATATATATATATATATATATATATATATATATATATATATATATATATATATATATATATATACAATGGATTTTAAAATATAGCCTATATATAGCCAGTGTTGGGAAGGTGACTTTTAAAATGTATTCCCCTACAGATTACAGATTACATACCCCAAAATGTAGTTTGTAACGGAATCCATTAAATTACTTAAAGTGAGTAACGTAATCTGAATACTTTGGATTACTTGATTTGCTGTAGAGAAGCAAAGATGAGGAAATCTTCACATAAGATGTTTTGTCTGCTACAAAACAATAAAAAGCCCAGACTTTACTTAACCATATTAAAAATATTATTGATAGAAGAGGAGACTCGTCCATGCAGCATGATTTAGTCCTGTTAAATCCTGTTTTAGTCCTGTTTTAGTCCTGGTTTAGTCCTGGTTTTAGACCTGGTTTAGACCTGGTTTAGATCTCGTTTAGATCTCGTTTAGACCTGCTTTTAGTCCTGTTTTAGTCCTGGTTTAGTTCTAGTTTAGTCCTGTTTTAGTCCTGTTTTAGTCCTGGTTTTAGACCTGGTTTAGACCTGGTTCAGATCTAGTTTAGACCTGGTTTAGTTTCCGGGAATGAGTGGAATTACCGGGGGAAAAAGGGGGATATGACTCAAAATGTGAAAACAGGAAAATACCGCCATGTAATCCATTTTTTTCAACAAAGTAACTGTAATCCAATTACCACTCACTGAAACAGTAACTGTAACTGAATACAGTTACTCATAATTTGTACTCTGATTACGTAACTCCAGAACATGTAATCTGTTACTCCCCAACACTGTATATATCCCACCTGAAGCGAGAGACCTCATGATATAAAAAGTGTCTACAAAAAAATGCTAAGATTAAAATCGTCATTGAGTCCCTTTGGAGCTAAAGTTTGGAGAATCCAAAAAGCTTCCCTTTGTTTAAATATACGAGCATGGTCCCCTCCTCTGAGTGGAGGGGGGACATGCTCAATGCTACAAAAACGGAGAGAACTACTATCGTGTCTCTGATCATTCTTTCTGATGGAACTATTTGAAAGTTAAAAGGGGGTTCGAGTTGGCGTTATTTTCCAGAATTGATATGGTTGACATTAAATCAACTTCCCCTAGTTTTAATTTGGCACCTCACACCCACCACTCAAAATCCCTCGAGAGAAGACCAGTTTGAACCAGTTTTGAACACAGTTTCATCTTAAATTGACTAAAATAAAGCGACTCTGTTTGTGTGTTTAGATAAATCAGGATAACCCTACAAAGTGTTATCTGTTCACTCTCAAAACATGAATATAACTCTTGATTTACTGGTCCATAAATGTTAAATTAACTCAAGAACAGACTGGACTGATAAAAACCCTGAGAATATTTTAAAACTGATTCTGTGAGAGTCAGTTTTAGCACTCCACTTTCTGCTGTGTATGTTCTTTGATTATGCTTTCAGTCTAAGTTTTGTCAAATTAAAACTGCATTGTGTAATTTTAAAACCATGAAAAGAGGAACTATACATTTAAATCTAACTGTGTCTTAGCTCCTTTCTCATACATTAATATCCACTTCACTAAATGTACAGCTTCTTTAGATGGAGAAGTGAAATCGCAGTCATCACGCAAGTTAAGTCTAGTTCTGCTTACAACTTTTACTCTGATGTTGAAAACAGATAAAATATTTTAGTATCAGATGCAGACCGTCCATATAAAGGGATGCTTTTGTGATATATACTACTACACCTACTACTGGACCTACTGGTCAACAACAACTGTAAAAGATCAGATATTTTGCAAATAATTACGCACAAATGTACCCAAAATTATCATAAATAAAATGTTAAAGTATAAAAGTATCAACTATGCACCAGTATCAACTTCCAGTGTCCAATCCAGTAAACTTTTGATGCCATTTTCAGCACTTTTGACCTTTCAGAAGGTATTTTCGTCATTCTGAAGTCCACAAAAACAAGCTGAAATATCTAGTGACCTGTTTTAACTTAGTACATCTTAAAATCACTTAAAGAATAACTGTTGCTTAATATATTTTGATCAGTTTTCTAGTTATTTGAGTTGAAAAAAACAACTTGAATTGGCATTTCTGCACAGTTGGTATTGGTATCCGAACTCGAAAGAAATGAAAACGCTGTGCTTGTGCATTACTAGATAAAGCTATTTTATAATCAAAACCACAACCCACTTAACATTTATCTACTCGATGTACTCACCTTCACCTTCCCCAAGTTGAATAGCTCTAAATGTTTGTGTTTGTGTTCAGGGATACTACTCAGAACTGGACAACTCAGAGCTGAGTCACCTCATCCCCCCGTCGCTGGAGAACAAACGAGACGTGCTGTTTGGAAACCTGCCAGAGATTTATGAATTCCACAACAAGTACGTGTTTCAATTTGTATCATGTATTATTATTTATTATTATTATTCAGGCTGATAGCTACCAAATTCTTTTCACAAGTTTCTTTTTTGCGTGTCTGACTGATTTGCTGTAGGTAATACTTACATCATTTAGTCAGAAAGTACTTAGATCATGGATTTATTACAGGTTGAAGGTCCTGTATTACACAAAATTGATTCTTGTGAGCTCTAAGATGTGTTATAATTAGGGATGGGCATTCGATGAAATTTTCTTAATCGATCGTCGGAAGAATTAACGATCGATTATCGATTAATCATTAACGTTTTTATATTAAAATGATCATCATTATTATTACTATCTGCACTACTAATCTGCATAAATAAATTCAACTTTACGACATATAAACCGTAACCACTCTAGAGCCACATCGATCCGTTTGACATTATAATGTGTTTAATTCAGTTTTGCGCAACTCTCACAGAAACGAAACTTAAAACCGCATCGCTAATTTGCATAAACTTGCATAAAGATAAAACTGCAGCTCTTGTGTCGCTGATGCGGTCAATTTGTGTTGGATTAAAAGACACGACTCAGTGGAATACAGGTTAGTGTGACCATATTTGTGTTTGTCAAAACCAGGACACCGTACGGGGGGCGGGAGGTGGGGACTCGTCATCGACATTGCGCGACTCTCACCTGGTAAAGCTTTTCCCCACTGGACACTGAGACATATGTGCTGCTTTATACACTGTGCACATGGACTCACACTTGTCCCGAACGCAACGGAAAGCGTGGAATTTCTTGTACAAATCATCGTTAAATACGCATTTGTGCTTCGGTACGCTGCAGACTGACCGACTGTTTGTGTCTCGCTCCTTCTAAGTGCAGAGAGACACATGTACGGACCCCTGTTTGGTCACACTACACACAGCAACCTACATTCGGTTTGTCGATTAAAATTAACGTAATCGATGAAATTCTTAATGATCAATTATCGATTAATCGATTAATCATACCCATCCCTAGTTATAATAGCATTACCTTTTCAAAAACATACCTGTAGTTGTGTTTTGTTTCATCTGTATGTTTGAGAGACTCTTTATTATTAATCTGCATTCATGTTAGTTAATGAATTTATTACAGGTTGAAGGTCCTGTATTACACAAAATTGATTCTTGTGAGCTCTAAGATGTGTTATAATTTTGTTACCTTTTCAGAAATATACCTGGAGTTGTGTTTTGTTTCATCTGTATGTTTGAGAGACCCTTTATTTATTTATTCGTCTGTCTTCATCTTTCTTCATCTCCAAAACTCAGAATGTTGTGTTGCACCTTGTCATGTCTTGAAGTGGAAGTTGAAACAAAACACAACTCCAGGAATGTTTTTAATGAGGAAATATTATAGCACAGATCAGACAGTTGTGTAATATGGGAGTTTTAAAAGTGAATATTCCAGGAACAGCAATAAGATCGCCATGGAGACAGACACACTCCATTAGAAGTTACACAGTGCATCTTTAAAAGCTCTGTACCAAACCAATTTTACCATCTTCTAAACGCGAAAACTGTTTACAATGGTTATTATCTAACTCATTAGTAGGAATGTAATGATATCCAAGTCTCACGATACGATATCATGAACCTCACAGTATGATATTTATTGCGATATCGTGGGAAAGCTCACGATTAGGGATGTAACAATATCCAAATCTCTCGGTACGATATTTTCACGATATACATCTCACGGTATGATATTTATTGGGATATTTTATAGAGAATAAACTGCTAAAACTGTTAATATGTTACTTTTTCCTCTTAAAATGTCTTGACAAGACTTAATCTAAAGCACTAAGACTTAAAAGTGCTTAGAACTGTTATTTCTTCTTGTAGTCTGCACTGAAATGAAGCAAAGGATCATGGTCTACGTAGTTCCTTCTGTCTTTGTTTTTTAGCTTTTGCTGCACCATAGTTCTTAATTTAAGCAACGAGACCTGTAATTCCATATATTATGATGGTCCACGATATTATTGTGAGAACTTTGACTATACGATATCACAATACTTCTGTTATTGTTACATCACTACTCATTAGCATCCTGATTTTTCACTAAGATTATTTAATAACGCTTTTCAAAACATGCTGTCACAGTTACAAGCAATAGCATGCTAACAACGCAATTCCTTATTCTCGTACAATAAAACATACAATAATTCAATCAGATAACACATGATGGTCTGATTTTTATCTTAACAGCTGCTTATACTATAAAATGTACCTGTGCTGGGGCAAATTAAGTCTTGCTCAGCTATATGAAGAAAAAAAAAAGACTGGTGCAGCCACTTTAAGTCCATAATTATCTTGAATTTAAAAAAAAAAAAAAAGCTGTGTTTGTTTTACACATGTGTTGGAAACTGGAGCTGTGTGTAGCCTATTGTTTAGCAAATTGTCAAGCTGAACAGGACACCATATACCGGTACTAGTACTTGTGTCCTGTATAGTAAATGTTATGGTCTGTTCTGTTTATAGTAGCAAAACTGGTTTCTCCTCTGTTTCTCTTTCGCCTCCGTGTACGATGTTACATTTAAGTGCAAAGTACACAGTCCATATATGGAAGAGGCCACTCCAGGGTTATGTAAACTCTAGTTCCAGAGAATTGCATGGTTTCATATGGCATTCTGATGGACAATCACATTTAATACAGAAGTGGCAGTGTTTTGTTGTCAGTAACAGAAATGATCAGCTTCAATATTTGTGAATTTACCTTTTTTAATGGCAAAGTACAATGTAATCAATAGGGAAATCTGCTCCTCATCTGGGAGTATGACCTAGTAGTAGTAGTAGTAGTAGTAGTAGTACTAGTAGTAGTAGTAGTAGTAGTACTAGTAGTAGTAGTAGTAGTAGTACTAGTAGTAGTGGTAGTGGTATTAGTAGTGGTAGTAGTAGTAGTAGTAGTAGTAGTAGTAGTAGTAGTAGTAGTAGTAGTAGTAGTAGTAGTAGTAGTAGTAGTAGTAGTAGTAATGCTAGTAGTAGTAATGCTAGTAGTAATGCTAGTAGTAGTAATAGGAGTAGGAATAATAGTAGAAGAAGTAGTAGTAGAAGAAGCAGAAGTAGCAGGAATAGGAGTAGTAGGAGTAATAGTAGAAGTAGTAGAAGAAGTAGTAGTAGTAGGAATAGGAGTGGAAGAAGTAGTCGGAATAATAGAAGTAGTAGTAGGAGGAGAGGGAGGAGTAGGAGTAGTAGTAGTAGTAGGAGTAGTAGTAGTAGGAGTAGTAGTAGTAGGAGTAGTAGTAATGCTAGTAGTAGTAATAGGAGTAGGAATAATAGTAGAAGAAGTAGTAGTAGCAGGAATAGGAGTAGTAGGAGTAATAGTAGAAGTAGTAGAAGAAGTAGTAGTAGTAGGAATAGGAGTAGAAGAAGTAGTAGTAGTAGTAGTAGTAGGAGGAGGAGGGGGAGGAGTAGGAGTAGTAGTAGCAGTAGGAGTAGTAGTAGTAGGAGCAGTAGTAGGAGTCGTAGTAGGGGTTGTAGGAGTAGTAGTAGGAGTCGTAGTAGTAGTAGTAGTAATGCTAGTAGTAGTAATAGGAGTAGGAATAATAGTAGAAGAAGTAGTAGTAGAAGAAGCAGTAGTAGCAGGAATAGGAGTAGTAGGAGTAATAGTAGAAGTAGTAGAAGAAGTAGTAGTAGTAGGAATAGGAGTGGAAGAAGTAGTCAGAGTAGAAGAAGCAGTAGTAGCAGGAATAGGAGTAGTAGGAGAATAGTAGAAGTAGTAGAAGAAGTAGTAGTAGTAGGAATAGGAGTAGAAGAAGTAGTCGGAGTAGTAGAAGTAGTAGTAGGAGTAGTAGGGGGAGGAGTAGTAGTAGTAGTAGTAGTAGTAGGAGTTGTAGTAGGAGTAGTAGTAGGGGTTGTAGGAGTAGTAGTAGTAGTAGTAGTAATAATAGTAGTAGTAGTAATTTTCAGTCCCTATTTTGGATATGAAAACATACTAACTAGATATGGATAAAAATTAAATATGAAGCATATATTATATTTATATTTTATATTTTATCTGTCTATATTTATTGTGTATGGACAGATAAACACTCCTTGTTTGGAATAGGACAACTTTATAGCACATTACACAATAGTATCCCGAGTACCACACCTGGCGTCATAGAAGAGTACAGTGTATTATCTCATGTTTTCAAAGCCATAAAGATACGAGGTCAGATTGGTTTGTTATCGGAATACACTGGTAGTAGCAGTGTACACTCAGTATTCGGTAATACATGTACCGGTACATGTAATTATTAATTTTAATTTTATTTTTTTGTAATTTTGAATGTTGTTTCCTCATCACAAACAGACCTGCAGTTGTGTTTTTGTTTCGTTTACACGTTTAATACACAAATCCTGCACATTTAGGCTGATTTCTTCTCTCAAACTGAAAAAACTCTGTTCCACCTTGTGATGCCATGTAGTAATACAGGAAGTGCTGCACTGTGTTTTTAATCATTTGGATAATTTCAGCAAAAGTAAAGGGTTTCTCACATGTGTGAATTGAACAAAACACAACTCCATACATTTTTGAGAAGGAAAATAAACAAGACTTAAAGGTCACAAGAGTCCATTTAATATAATATAGGAATATATGTTATTTTAAAAATCTGCAGTATAACCTGTTAAAAACGCTTTAAATATTCCAATAATTTCCTCTCAAGTTATGACACTGACACCTTTGTAAATGCCCAGCCATTCAAACAAACTGAATGCTCAATTTACGAACAGGAAATAAACGATGTGTAAATATGTTTTGAGTTGTTTGTTGTTTTGACCTCCAGGACGTTTCGAGGAGAGCTGGAGAACTGTGCCGAGAAACCGGAGGTCGTGGGAACCTGTTTTCTCAAAAGGGTGAGTAACAGAGAGTTCCAGCACAGAAAACAAGAACTACTGCAGGTAAACATACACTGCACCAGGAGTAAGCCACTGAAAATAACAAAAGTGTATTGCCTCTGGGAAATGGTTGAACGCGTGCCAGTTTTTCAGACTTTTGATGTCTTTTTTTTTGTGATGGTGCATCCTGTCTTTTGTCAATTGTTGCCCTTGTGTTGTCCTATTAGCTCATATTGAAACCAAGAGGTCATAGAGGTTAAAAGAAGTGCCAGAGCCTTAACCCACAGACAGGGGACACATACATGTATCATTTTTCTCATTCTCAAATTATAACATAAACTTAATGGTCATCATGTCCAGTGTTTTTGTAATTGAGAGTAAAAGAATGCTACAAATCCATCAAATTTTCCCACGTATCCGGTGCCGGGTCCTTGGGTAAGCAGTTTAAGCAGGGACTTCCAGACTTCCCTCACCCCAGACACTTCATCCAGCTCCTTCGGTCAGACATCAAGGCTTTCCCAGACCAGCCGAGAGGCATAGCCCGTCCAGTGTGTCCTGGGTCTTTCCTGGGGCCTCCTGCCAGTGGGACATGCCTGAAACACTTCCCCAGGGAAATGCCCAGGAGGAATACAGAACATTCCATTCTCTTCTGGAATGCTACACGTGTTATTTATAAATATTTGATTTGAACATTTACTTTATATTAATTTTAAACCACATCCTCAGTTTATTATTGTGGCCACATCAGCTTTTCAAAGCCCGATCTTGTCAGACCTCAGGTTCAGCAGTGGGGCAGAAGTGGAAAAACTGTTGTGTCCTTAGACAAGACACTCAACCTACGTCATCCAGCATGAATGTGGCGTCTGTGTGAGTGTTGGAAGTGGTTTGAGAGGCAGATGATGCAGATTGGCAGCCTCCCCTCTGTCAGTCAGTCCCAGGGAAGCTGTGGCAGATTGAGTGTGGAGAGAATGAATAATGCTCTGTAAAGCACTTTGGGTGTCTTCAAAGGCGCTATATATATCTAATGCAGTATTATTATTTATTCAGTGTTTTTTTGCTACAGATGAATAATATTGTACAAATATTTGTCTGTGACAAATATGGAACATTACTGAATCAGATGGAAATCTTTCCAAACACACATACAGAAATGAGGTCACTTACTTACGTCATTGTGGTGAGGTGGGTTGTGGATGCGCCTTTTTTGATTTTGCATTGTCCAGACCAAAGGGATTAAATGACCTCTTTGATTATTTTGTGGTTAATTTGTCAGGAAATAGTGGTGGAAGTTCCCATTATTTGCAAATAGCATTAAGACTCTGGTGGTTCAAGGATTAATAAAGGTTTTAAACAGGACTGACTGTTCCAGAGCTGCTCATGACCCATGTCTGTGCCGACATTTATTTAAAGACGGGGTATTATGCAAAATAGCTTTGAGCTTTCTGTCATGTTATAACATTGTTCTCTCATCAGAAACATGCCTGAAGAGGTTTTTGATGTCATCTATGCATTTTTCAGTAATTTAGCATTCTCTCCCGGGCCCTATTCAGATTTTTCTTACGATTAGATTCTGTGCCGTGCTCCACCGCAAGCCTACATCATCCATGCCCACGTGACAATTCTCCATAAATATACAAAGTTATGATACAAAACTTTACACAACAACTTTCCAAAACTGATGTGATGTGCAATAGTTTCATTAGTGGGATGTATGAAGGGGGAGTGACTTAGGAAACTTATAAAACATGTCAATACATTTCGGTGAATATAGCATTTTCAAAACAATAAAAGGTAACATACCCCGTAGAAATAAAATGCCCCGTCTTTAAGTAAATTAAGATAGGAAAACTTACCTTACAGTGTTTGAATTTTTAGCACATGAATGATCTCTTGACATTGTTTCAAGTTTTGCAATTATACAAGTAACTTTTGTTGTTTATTCTTACAGAAAGAGGAGTTGAAGGTGTATGAGAAATACTGTCAGAACAAACCACGCTCTGAGGTGCTCTGGAGACAGTGCGGAGACTCACTCTTCTTCCAGGTAACAAATCCAAGTCTGATCTTTTCATTTATTTAAATTGACTAAAAAAGTATTTTTACACACCATATTTTTGGTATGGAATGTCCCAGTTTCCCCAATTATCCCAGTGGCTCTCAAACTTTTCACACCAAGTGCCGCCAGAGGAAAAGTTTGGCTTTTCGAGTACCACCAGATCTAAACCAGGTCTATAAAATAATTATTAAAGGTCTAAAGTAGGGCTAAACCAGCTCTTAAAGATACTATATTACACAAAATTGACTCTTCTGGGCTTTAAACCATGTTAGGATGTTGTTACGTCATCAAAAACAGACCTGGAGTTGTGTTTTGTTTCATATGCTATACATGTTTGAGTGACCTTTTAAAGCACCCTTTATTAAACAAAGCACCTTCTGCTACATCAAACGCGTCATAGGCGTAGCTGCCGCGTCATCGTTGTAGCAGCTTTAGTCACGTGGGAGGGTTAAAGAAATATGCTGCAATTTGTTAAAAAAAAAATGCTGAATCAATCTAAAAAACACATCGGCAACAGGTAGAAAGCTCTGAAAAGTTGATTTTGCATGAGATGGACCCTTTAATAGTCTGTTTACCAAAGCTTCATGTGATGTCATGAAGTGGTAGTTTTCTAGCCTGATTCATCAGCCGGTTTCACTTTGTAGAAACCATCTACAAACCTTGCAGTGTTAGAATTCGTTTACTTGACTGTAGGCGTTTACTTTGTTATTTAACCAATCGCTGCTATTTGGTCGTGACGTATGTAATGCACCACTAACGGGGATAACTGGTATATTAAGTTTTTCCCAAATCCCATAGGAAGAAGGGCAATAACGTCTTTCCCCTTGATAAAATTCACCAAACATTCTCTTTGTTCCAGCTTTAAATCCTCGATGTCCGGAATCGTTGAAAACACAGAATATATGGCTCTTCGCTGATTGGCTGGTACCCGAACTCGCACTTTCGGGGGTTTTTGCGAACCATTTAGTGTATTTTGATTCCTGACCTAGTTGCTAGAGAGAAATGAAATTCAGCGGAGGCACTAGGTGATGCCATCCTGGCTAGTAGTTTTCATGTTAATGGCTCCTTTTACCTTTCATTCAGTAGAGATTCCCAGTTCCAGGGCTGAAATTATCCAAATGATTTTAGTGAAAGTGTATGGAGTTTAAAAATAGAGTGAACACTTTCTGTATTACCCCATGACATCACAAGGTGGAACAGAGTGTTTTCTGTTTGAGAGTGAAATGAAAGGAATGAAACAAAACACAATTTCAGGTATGTTTTTGATGAGGAAACATTATAACAGAGATCAGAAAACAGTATAAAATGACCCCTTTTCAGTGGACTACTTCAATTTTAAACAATCATCCTAAAAGATCAAAACATGTATAAAATGAACTCTAAAAACGCAAGAGCTGTCCAAGTAACAGCTGAAGGATCTGAAGGCACCACAATTTCAGAAACGCTGTATTAACCTATAGTTTTTGTCTGTGTATTTCAGGAGTGCCAAAAGAAACTGGACCACAAACTGTCTCTAGACGCCTACCTCCTGAAACCTGTGCAGAGGATCACCAAATACCAACTCATGCTCAAGGTACTTTAACATTTCAAAGTTCTGTTTAAGTATGAGATGAAGTGAAAAAGCAGTTTACCAGTTTATCTAATTTAACAATGGGGGTTTTCAGATTCTAAAAATGTGATGATGTGAAGTTATCAAACCCTAGAATTTTCTATTTAACATCAAAATCAGTATTCTGACAATATTAATTTAAGCTCCTCCCCCTTAAATCTTTAATAAATGTTCACTGTGTAACTTTTTGGCTGGGGTCTATCACCTGACATTGCTGTGCCTAAAATGTTCCACGGTGCAACATTAAACATCTCTACCTTACGTTTATTCAGTTACAGGTGGTTTTATAGCTCAAAAATACAGAGAAAAACGGGCATTCTGACTGTGAGCGGGGTCGCCTCTCCACAGATCTGACCTGTAACTTGGTCTGATTTGGTCTCCATGAAGATATAAAGGTTTAATACCATATTGCAGAGGTGGGGACTTGTAAGACGTGACTTGGACTTGAGTCAGACTTGAGTCACTATTTTTAGGACTTGAGAATTGACTTGATAAAATGGACTAAGACCTGGGACTCGACTTGGACTTGAAGTTCAGTGATTTGGAACTTGACTCGGACTTGAGGCCTGTGACTTGAAAAGACTTCTCTTGAAAAAAAGTTTTTAGAAAATACTTTTCTCTTTACAGTTGATAAATGCGGGGCTGAATTTTACTGGAACAAACTGGAACATGTCTCTCTCACTTCTTATTTTTGGATGAAACTGAAGTACTGTGATACGACCTCCTCAAATGTACTACAGTAATAAATACAGTACAACACAGTAAAACAGAGGGAACTACATAGAACATGATCCTTCCCTTTCAGTGCAGACTACATGACAAAATAGCTGTTATTTAGCACTTCTAAGTCTTAATTCTTTCTATTCCGACTATAATAAGATCTTGTCAAGACATTTAAAAAGGAAAACTAGCATTTCAACAACTCTTATATAAATATGACTTTTTAAGTACAATTTAGTTTAAAAGTCATATAAACCTCAAAATTCAAAGCTATTCTTGATTTGAAGCTCAAAGCAGACGACTTGGACTTGACTTGAACTTATGGGACTTGAGACTCAACTTGGACTTGGCCTGCATTTGACTTGGGACTTGACTCGTACTTGAGGTCAAAGACTTGAGACTTACTTCAGACTCGCAAAACAGCGACTTGGTCCCACCTCATTTCAGACAAAGTAATAACATCTCCATGGAGAAAAGCATCTGGCAAATCCTCCACACAAAGCATCTTTAACTTACTTTACTTATATACTCGATATTTCTGTTGAGTATTTTTTGGTAGCTGAAGTTTTATTTTTTTTATACTTTCTACTTGCAAAAACATAACCTTGTCAAAAACTCAAGACATATTAGTTTGCAAAGTTAACACTGTTTCATCAGCATTGCACATTCAACATTTCTTTTATTATGATTATTATTAAGTGGCTGTACCCGATTTTTGTTTTTTTTTGTTTGTTTGTAGTGTAGCAAAAGTGATTTATTTTTGCATTTGTACAGATATATTGGAAAAGTAGCGGCGTACTGCCTGCTTCTAAGTATAATTAAGAGTGTTACCTTTAGGAATCAGGAAGAGTGCTGTTAGAATGCCATTGTTTGTTAGCATTACTGTGACTGTAAAACTACACTCTGACCTCTGGAAGTTTTTTTCTTATAAACAGATGGCGGAGTATAATTAGAATGCTAGGAATGCCATACTTGGAGTGGCTGGTCGGGCAAAGGAATGCGTTACGAATATGAGAAATAACTTTGGACAACTGCAAATGTTTTTAAATAAACTACGTCTGTTTTTCAGTTTTTTTAATACAGTAAATATCAGGTACAGTCCATATCCTAATGCACAAACTAATCTTATTGTTTTTGTCCCTGGGTATTGTCTTGCAGGAGATGCTGAAGTGCAGTAAAGGCGAGGGCTGTGCTGAGCTGGAGGAGGCGTTGGCCACAGTGGTGGACATCATCAAGTCTGTCAACGATTCAATGCATCAGATCGCTATAACAGGATATGAGGTCAGTATGAATGAGATAACGGGTTTGATAACAATGTTTTATAGACTATTGACTTGTGTCTGCGGGAATGTTTATATGGCCAATAAGATTTTATTTGCATGCGTTTACAAGCACAAGCAGTGTGGGGAAGTAACTGAATACATGTACCGAAAATACATTGTTTGAATATTATTTTTGAGAACCTGTATTCCTGTTCTTCTTCATTTGGTGGTGTTTAGAATAGAGTTACTTTAAATGAAATAATTACTAAAATCAAAGGAATACACCACGGTACTTCATTCTGTCATTTTGGCTTCTAATCTTAATTATAAAGGTTGTAACTGTGTTTTAGTAAAATGGTTTATACTTTTTAGTTTTAGTTTATACTACGAACCACCTAGTGCCTCTGCTCAATTTCATTTCTCTCCAGTGACTAGGTCAGAAATAGGAATATACTAGACGGTTTGCAAGAAACCCAGGAGTTGTAGACCACGCACCGGCCAATCAGCGAAGAGCTGTGAAGCCATGACGTCAAACTCAAACGCCTGTCTGGGTCCCTTTTGTTGTTCAGCACAACAGTAAACAAAGCGGTCGAGATGGATGTAGACAAAGCCATACGTTCTGTGTTGGCAACGATTCCCGAGATCGAGGATTTAAAGCCGTAAAAGAGAGAAAGTTTGGTGAATTTTATCAAGGGGAAAGACGTTATTGTCCTTCTTCCTACGGGATTTGGGAAAAGCTTAATATACCAGTTAGCCCTGTTACATATGTCACGACCAAATAGCGGCGATTGGTTAAATTAAAAAAGTACCCACCTACCGCTGAGCGAACGAATCCTAATGCTGTGAGGTAGTTTCCACGAAGTGAACTCGGCTGATGAATCAGGCTAAGTATAAAATGTCATAGGCACTTCAAATAGTCAATGGAAAAGGCGTGAATAACATTATTTTGAAGTTTCTATCTTTGCCTCATTTGTTTATCCTTTGTTGCACACATTTCCTGGTGTGCTTCTTCTAAAAAAATATGTTTTCACTTCTCTATTTCTTATTTTAAATGTAACTGAAGTACTGTGATATGGTATCATCAAATGTACTACAGTAATATACAGAATAATACAGTAAAACAGAGAACTACATAGAACATGATCCTTCCCTTTCAGTGCAGACTACATGACTACTATTAAGCACTTTTAAATCTTAATTCTTTCTATTTTCACTGTAATGATTCACACAAAATTCTTGTCAAGACATTTAAAACGAAAACATTTGCATTTCTACAACTCTTATATAATTACTCATATATAAATATACCATGGCATTTTAAGTAAAAAGCAAAAAATCTAAGCTATATTTGGTACTTTGGTTTAAAGACTTGAAATGACCGCTGCTGATATCGCGGTGATTTTAGCAAATTAGTATGAAGAAAAAGGAAAAACCCACCACTTCAATCCAGGTTAATAAACATGCGTTACTGACATTTGTACCGAGTAAAATATTACCACTTTTTTCCCTGCAATGCCAAACATTACTGCGTTACAGCAAGAAGCAATGCATTACAGTAATTTGTTACTTTTATAACGTGTTACTCCCAACACTGAAAATATTACATCAAATAAATAAAAAATATGAGGTCAAAAATTGGAAACTGAATCATGTGGCTCGTCTCGTCTTGTGGAAATTGTGTCTCATCCCATTCCTAGTCTTAGACATTTTATTTCCCTAAACAAATGTGGTCAAATTTGAATATTATTTTATTTTGCTGGTGACATACTGTACGGAACTCTTCTGAAGTGATGAATCGTAAACAGAGTGGTTTTGAGGTGAGCACATCTCAGTCAAATAAGGGACAAAATTTGAAAATTAAATTAGAATATTAGAGCAGACGACAAAGAATGGTCATGTTGTCCTATTCAAATATTTTACACCCAAATATCAAAATATAAACAGAGCAATGAGCTCAGTGACGCAGTTTGATATCAGGTTGTTGCACGCGATGAAAATATATTTTAATTTCAACCTGGAGAAACTCAGACGGACGCAAAGAGAAAATGTTAGTAGTTTTATTGAATGTCAGATGTTGCGATAAAGAGGAGGTGGTAGAGGTGAGGCTGAGGAGAATGAAGGGGCGATGAGAGGATGAGGAGAGTGAAGGGAGTGATGAGAGGGTGAGGAGAGTGAAGGGGGAGATGAGAGGATGAGGAGAATGAAGGGGCGACGAGAGGATGAGGAGAGTGAAGGGAGTGATGAGAGGGTGAGGAGAGTGAAGGGGGTGATGAGAGGATGAGGAGAGTGAAGGGGGCGATGAGAGGATGAGGAGAGTGAAGGGGGTGATGAGAGGATGAAGAGAGTGAAGGGATGATGAGGAGAGTGAAGGGAGTGATGAGAGGATGAGGAGAGTGAAGGGAGTGATGAGAGGATGAAGAGAGTGAAAGGGGTGATGAGAGGATGAAGAGAGTGAAGGGAGTGATGAGAGGATGAGGAGAGTGAAGGGATGATGAGAGGATGAGGAGAGTGAAGGGAGTGATGAGAGGATGAAGAGAGTGAAGGGAGTGATGAGAGGGTGAGGAGAGTGAAGGGAGTGATGAGAGGATGAAGAGAGTGAAGGGAGTGATGAGAGGGTGAGGAGAGTGAAGGGACGATGAGAGGATGAGGAGAATGAAGGGATGATGAGAGGATGAGGAGAGTGAAGGGAGTGATGAGAGGATGAGGAGAGTGAAGGGGGAGATGAGAGGATGAGGAGAGTGAAGGGGAGATGAGAGGATGAGGAGAATGAAGGGACGATGAGAGGATGAGGAGAGTGAAGGGAGTGATGAGAGGATGAGGAGAGTGAAGGGAGTGATGAGAGGATGAAGAGAGTGAAGGGGGTGATGAGAGGATGAAGAGAGTGAAGGGACGATGAGAGGATGAGGAGAGTGAAGGGAGCGATGAAAAGAAGAGGAGAGTGAAGGGGGCGATGAGAGGGTGAGGAGAGTGAAGGGACGATGAGAGATAAATAAATAGATTTATATGTAGTTAGTGAAGGTACTGAAATATTTTACTATTTGAAATACATACTTATCTTTGTTGTATTAATGAACTTATATATGGCTGAAATGTAAATATTTTGTGTAATTATCATATATATATAGGAAAAATAGTGTCAGTGTTTTCATGACTAAATTAGATTTAAAAAAAAAATTAATACAGATGGAGCAGCAAAAGTTCATATTGTTAAAATTCAGATTTCTGTGGCAATATAGTTAGTTCTTGGGTCTAGTTACTAATAGAAATAATCAGTTTCAACCAGAGGTGGGACTTACACTTGAGTCACTATTTTTAGGACTTCAGACTTGACTTGATAAAATGGACTAAGACATGGGACTTGATTTGAAGGTCATTGACTTAATACTTGATGCTCAGGAAATCTTTTTCTCTTTAGAGTTGATAAATGTCATACATGATGGAACATGTCCCTCTCACTTCTCTATTTGTTACTTTGGATGTAACTGAAGTACTGTGATATGGTATCATCAAATGTACTACAGTAATATACAGAATAATACAGTAAAACAGAGAACTACATAGAACATGATCCTTCCCTTTCAGTGCAGACTACATGACTAATACATGAGTAATATTAAGCACTTTTAAACCTTAATTCTTTCTGTTTTCACTGTAATGATTCACAAAATTCTCGTCAAGACATTTAAAAAGGAAAAATTTGCATTTCTACAACTCTTATAACTACTCATATATAGCATGACTTTTTAAGTATAATTTACCTTGAAGGTCATATAAAAAGCAAAAAATCTAAGATATATTTAGTACTTTTGTTTAAAGATTTGAAATGACTTGAAGCTCAAAGCAGACAACTTGGTTTTGACTTGGACTTATGGGCCAGTGACTCCGGACTCGACTTGGACTTGCCTGTATTTGACTTGGGACTTGACTCGGACTTGAGGTCAAAGAGGTAACACTTTATAATAACTACACTTTATTTAGCCTTAATAAAGCATGAACAAAGACTTAAGTAATAATGATTCACGCTTAGTAACTACTTAATTACTACTTGAATTAGCACTTAACCTGCGCTTAATTCGCCTGTGCTGTAAATAGTAACTCAATACTTCTTAGTTACTCATGAACTAACCATTTGCATGTTTACAAATGCATATTTAAGTACAAATTTGAGCGTTTATTAATGAATAGTAAGCTATGAGAGAATGATTTACTAATAATGCAAAGCAATGATCATTCAGGCAGCTATTATCTGTTGGTCTGTAAGTCTTTCTGAGAGCTTTTCTAAAGTGAAGACTTATTATGTTTATTAAGCATTTGTTGAGGTTGGTCAAATTCCAGAGAAACAATAATGCATTACTAGTAAATCATTCTATCATGAATTACTAATCATTAATAAATGCTCAAATGTGTACTTAAATAAACATTTACAAATGCATACACAAATGGTTAGTTCATGAGTAATTAAGTAAGAAATATTTACGAGTAACTATTTACAGCACAGGCGAATTAAGTGCAAGTTAAGTGCTAATTCAGGTAGTAATTAAGTGGTTACTAAGCGTGAATCATTATTAATTAAGTCTTTGTTCATGCTTTATTAAGGCTAAATAAGGTGTAGTTATTATAAAGTGTTACCGGTCAAAGACTTGAGACTTATTTGAGACTTGCAAAACAACGACTTGGTCCCTATTGCAGCATTTGGCTTTAGTTCTGACAAGTAAGGACATAACCAGAGCTTATGTGATTTCTTTTGTTGATTTCTGTGTTGAATTTTGCCTTTTTATCAGCGAGATTACTGATTTTGTGCACATCGTCTCTATGACTGCATCTCATTTCGCTTTCCTCGCTTCCGTCTCCTTGATTCCTCTGCTTGATTCTGCAGCAAATGGGCGAGGAAGGAGGAGAGACAGAGAGAGCAGAGAGGATATAAACTCCTCACTGAGACAATAAAGTTTGATTATTTTATCTGATATCTACCTCCTGGTGCCTCTCTCATGTTTACTCCTTCCTTCCTTGGTTTTCTTTGGGACAACACTTAATATGACACATTTGACTGGCAGCTGAAAAATGGAGGCTCGAGGGGAGGAATGAAGGAGAGCATTTCTCTCCAGCGACTAGGTCAGGATTCGGAATACACTAGAGCAGACATGTCAAACTCAGGCCCGGGAGCCAAATTTGTCCCGTGATATAATTATATTTGGCCCATGAGATCATATCAATTATGTATTAGAGCTGGCCCTCTGGCTACCGATATTCTATAGAGACATTATTTTATAAAAATGTTGTCATTATTTTATATTATGCTTGTTCTGGATTCAATATTTAAGCAAAAATATTATTAAACATTTATTTTAATAAGAAGAGGTTTAACATTACATATCCTGAAAGTAGAGAAAACTTGCAGAAGTTGTTGAATTTTTTTCAATAAATATTTAGTTTGGCCCACAACTTTGTCCCAGTTTTTAATTTTGTCCCTCTGTGAATTTGAGTTTGACAACCTTGCACTAGACGGTTTGCAAGAAGTGTAAGTGTGAGTTCGGGCACCAGCCAATCAGCGAAGAGCCATGTATTTCGTGTTGTCAACGATTCCCGAGATTGAGGATTTAAAGCTGGAATAAAGAGAAAGTTTGGGTGAATTTTATCAAGGGGAAAGACGTTATTGCCCTTCTTCCTACGGGATTTGGGAAAAGCTTAATGTACCGGTTAGCTCCGTTAACAGTGCATTACATACATCACGACCAAATAGCAGCGATTGGTTAAATAAAAAAGTACCCACCTACTGTTGAGGGAACAAATTCTAACACTGTGAGGTCAGATGGTTTCTACAAAGTGAATCCAGCAGAACAATAAAGCAGTATCAAACCATGTAAAGCCACTAAATGGAATAAAAAACAGCCCACATTTTGCTTCTCAACAAAACATTCCAGTTGGTTTAAGCCTAAAAGGACTCCCTCTGATCTGAATCCTCACAACCTAAACCCCAGCGCCTGCAGCCAGTGTGCTCTATATGCAGACAGAGACACTTGCACCTCAGCTGTGACGGTAGTTCCTTTTTAGAAGAAGCAAGAATGCAGGCTACGTACCGTCCTTTTAAAGAGGAACTTTGAACTTTAGTTGAAGTAGATTAGACCCAGACTGGGCTCGCACTAAACTCTCATGTATGACACAGGGAGATAACATTCTTAACCTTAACACCAGACTTCAATTAGCTAACCATTTAGTGACTTATTAACCTCTTTAAATTCAACATGCAGCCACATCAAGTTAATCTCTAACATCACTAAAATGTAATTCTGCCACAATGTTTGCTCATAGTGCAGTAGTGCCACAGTAACCTTTAGTACAAACATAAAGGCGCCAGCTCAGTAAAAATCTGTAATATTTGATGTTTTTTACTGAAAACGGTGTTATTCATATTAACACTGTTCATAAGCACCTACAGAACATAAATCATAGACTACAACACATGAAAAGGGACTAAACCAGGACTAAAACAGGACTAAAACAGGATTAAAACAGGATTAAAACAAGACTGAACCAGGACTAAACCAGGACTAAAACAAGACTAAAACAGGACTAAAAGAGGACTGAACCCGGACTACACCAGGACTAAACCAGGTCTAAACTAGGACTGAACCAGGACTGAACCAGGACTAAATCAGGACTGAACCAGGACTAAACCAGGACTCAAACAGGACTGAACCAGGACTACACCAGTACTAAACCGGGTCTAAAACAGATTGAAAACAAAACTGAACCAGGACAAAAATAGGACTAAACCAAGATTAAACCAGGACTAAAACAGGACTGAACCAGAACTAAACCAGGTCTAAACCAGGTCTAAACCAGGACTAAACCAGGACTAGTCTTGGACTTGAGAGCAAGAGAGAACCCCAAGCCAGTGGAGACCGTCGGGTGTCCACAAAGCGCGATCGGGTTTTGATTGCGCTTAGCCCCGTGGAGCTCGGAGCTTTGTGTTCAGTCCTGTTTTAGTCCTGGTTCAGTCCTGGTTCAGTCCTTGTCCCTCATGTCTCAGGTCACTATAGGACAGTACTGCAGATATCATGAGCCTCTGCAGGTTGTTTTCACCGTTGCCAATAGCGATGTGATATTATATAACCCTGTATGTCTTACTCCGAGTTTATTTTATTACATCAGAGTACAGGGCTGTGGGTGGAGCTAGCTAAGTTATTGATAAGGGAATACTGTTATGACATGGTATAATAGGTATAATACGTCTCCTTTAAACTATTTTTATACATTTAAGTAAACCTTAAATAATGTTTAAAACAACTAAAAGGCAACTTAGCTCAGAGTTTTACCTTAAAGAACAATAAAAGATTGTGAAACAACTCCACCTGCTGGCGTAATGAGGAATGACACACTGAACTGAACTAACTGCTCAGTGAATGCAAATTGAGCATAGAAAAAAAAAACAGGTCAATTATGATTACATTTTTAAAAAAACTTTAAATAGCAGGGATAAATACGTGTACATATTGTTGTGTTTGACAGGGAAACCTGAGTGAGCTGGGGAAGCTGCTCATGCAGGGATCCTTCAACGTGTGGACGGACCATAAGAAGGGACACAGCAAGGTAACAACATCTACTTTATGTTTTATGGGTGATTTCTCATGTGTCCTCGTGTGCCTACAGTCTGAGAAAAATGCTCAAGGACATGGAAAATAGGAAAAATGCAGAATTGTAAAGATTCCTCAGTCTGTCACCTTTGTCATCTGTGTCAAACAGCAGGAGGAGGAAGTATATATTTGAGTCTATCTAACTGTTTCCTACAGCTCTCACAAATACTTTTTGACATGCATGAATTTCAGACTCACTTTAAAATAGCTTTTTTATATGCTGAAGTGAAACAGGCAATCCTACTGCTGCTTATAGCTTTTACTTCTGGGTTGGCAATAGACCAAATATTGTATCATTAGATGCACACAAAGTGCTGCTTTTATAATACTCTATATACTCTTTGGAGGATATAATACAAAATTTACTTCTTTACAAGAAAAATAACCCCACAAAATACTGCCCAAAATGACTGCTCGAACTTGAACACATGGAGCACATGTTTTATTTGAACAGATAAAAGTGTTTTCATACATTTGTCTTCATCAAATGAAAACTATTGTGTAACTTAAAGATACAGTGTATACCTTACGAATAGAAAGTTAAAACAATACTTATGAACCATTCTCCATGGAAAAGCACAACATTGCCATGGAAACAGGCAGGAAGAGACTAAGAATGTGTTATGTTTTTTTTTTTATCAGTACAATAAAAATAAAATGTTTTATTCTAATGAGACAACTTGTGAAAAGCTAAATAGCTTTTTTCCCTGACTGAAGTGTCTCTTAGCAGTTCCCAGACTTCTTTTTTTTGGCTAGAAAGTGTGGCTTTAAGTGAATGTTACATAATTATGTTTCACTAAAAAATGAAGTCCAACCGGCCCGTAGGTAAAATCCCCCAGACCAAGCCTAGCTCAAGGACACAGTTCCCTATAGAGACAATAAAGTGCACCTTATATGCACTTTGAGTAATGCTATTGAAACCATATATCCAGTTCAAACTAAAGAGCGTTTTGTGTATTTGCAGGTGAAGGACTTGGCGAGGTTCAAGCCCATGCAGAGGCACCTGTTTCTGTACGACAAGACTCTGCTGTTCTGTAAGAAGAGAGAGGAGACCAGCGAGGGCCACGAGAAGAGTCCGTCCTACAGCTTCAAACACTCGCTCAAGGTCTGGACTAAACGTACACACAATATAATACACACAATATAGAATCAAAAATCAGATACTAATCCATCCTGAAATTAGTATCAAAACTAGATATTCATTAGAGCAGGTATCAATACTTAAAAAATCACATTCACAGGACAGAAATGAACCTTTCCTGAATAGCTTTAGAATGATCTTTAACTGTATCCGAGCAAGTCTAAGAGAACATTGACTTATTATCGATGGATTTTGAAATGTTAGTATCGTGACAACACTACTGCACTTAGGCTGTTGTTTTTGTGTCCTCTGGCAAGACACACTTGTATAGGTCTGTCAGGAAAAACAACCTTTGTGAATCGTGATATGCCGCTACAAAAAGGTTACAGGATTTATGAATTGATTTCCTTTTACTTCTTATTATAATCTCTTTGTAATCCATCATTTTTTCCGGGTTCGTTCCACTGCAAAAAGAAATGTAATTCTTTCCAATGGACAGTTTTTTGTAGCAAGAACAAAAAAGTATAGTCTAGCTGACTCAATTCTCATTATAAATTCATACAATTTACTTTTATGCAACCTTTTTTATTATTATTTTACAAAAGGTAGTGTATGAATGGAGGACAATGGAGATATAATGGACATTGATAAAGACTAAAACAAGTATCCAGACTAGATACTCATTTGAAAGTAATTTTATCTGGGAAAAAAAAACATATACAGGGGACAAATTTTGAACAGTTTTATAATAATCATCTTGAGCCATATTAAAACTAGTGTGAGCCCTCATATTGAAGAAATTTTTATATATTCAGGGTTATATAAAGCGAGTTAAGCAGCCGTCTTTCTGTCAGTTTACCCCAGGGCAGCTGTCGAAATACGGAAAGTGAATGAATAATAATAATAATAAAGCCAAAGCAAACTTATTTTCATAGGGATTAAAGGTATTACTTGGATTCTATTATTGCTCATTATAGTGTGTGCTCAAACTGAACCTGTTTATTACAAAAGAGCCGTACTGACAGACCAGACTGAGAAAAAGTACAGGAAGTTAAGATCACCTTTTTGTATTCTCCACCACCTGTCACTTCTCAGAAACCGTCTGGAGTTTCACCTTACGTAAAACAAGCTGACATTTCCAGTCAAACGTAAAATCGTGTTTAAACGTCTGATATTACGCAAAATTGACTCTTGTGAGCTTTAAGTCATGTTAGAATGTTGGTGCCTCTGCAAAAACATATCTGGATTTGTGTTTTGTTTCATTCACACATGTTTGAGGAACACTTTTTATGAGTCTGTCTACATTGTCAAAGCTCAAAACACTCAGTAGTAGTAGTAGTAGTTTTCAAGGTTTCAGCTCCTTTTACCCTTAGTTTAATGGAGATTGGCAATTCCAGGGCTGAAATTATCCAAATGATTCTAGCGAAGGTTTATAGAGTTTGAAAATACAGTGGAAGACTTTCTGTATTACCACATGACATCACAAAGTGGAACAGTGTTTTCTCGGTTTCATATGTTTTTATTTGTGTGTAGACAAATATAGATATGTCATTCAAACAACACATGTACGCACACTTTTTTCATTTTTATGCAGATAAAACATGTAAAAACTTGATAAACTTGTAAAGTTAACTAACAAACACAAATCACCCAAGAAATACGAGTAGTGTCAGACAAAATAATAATAATAGAATGATAATATGTATGCTACTACTATTATTAATAACAATAATAATCATAACCATAATCAAATAAAAATAATAGTAGTAATAATACAAATATTAACAAATAAAATAGGGGGGGTTCATTCAACAGAATTGAATGAACTCAGCCTAAATATGCAGGATTTATGCGTTAAACATTTGATTGATTGATTGAATGGTTGCATTTATATAGCGCCTTTCAAGATACCCAAAGCGTTTTACAGTTCATTATTCATTCACTCCACACTCAGTGGTGGCAAGCTACTATTGTAGCCACAGCTGCCCTGGGGCAGACCGACGGAAGTGAGGCTGCCAATCATGCACACACTACGTTTATACTAGGCAATGTGGGTGAAGTGTCTTGCCTAAGGACACAACGACACTTTCTGCCACTGGTGCCCCACATTTGTGAATGGAATAAAACACAATTCCAGGTCTGTTTGTGAGGAGGAAATAACAACATTGATCAAAATTGCCTAATATGGGCTCTTTACATGTAGTCAGACTGGCACCACCTAGTGCCTCAACTTGATTTCATTTCTCTCCAGCGACTAGGTCAGGAATCGGAATACACTAGACGGTTCGCAAAACCCCCGGAAGTGCGAATTCGGGCACCAGCCAATCAGCGAAGAGCCATACATTCTGTGTTGGCAATGATTCCTGAGATTGAGGATTTAAAGCCAGAACAAAGAGAATGTTTGGTGAATTTTATCAAGGAGAAAGACCTGTTAGCCCCATTAGCGGCACATTACATACGTCACGACCAAATAGCAGTGATTGGTTAAATAAAAAAAGTACCTGCCTACTGTCGAGCGAATGAATCCTAATGCTGCGAGGTCAGACCGTTTCCATGAAGTGAAACCGGGTGATGACGCAGGCTACTTTAAATATGCATTATGTAACTTTTCAGGACGATGATCATCCACTTCCTTGTTTTGCTTGTGCTTGCTTGCCAGGCCAAGTTACAGGTCAGATCTGCGGAGAGGCAAGCCCGTTCACAGTAAGAATCCACGTCTTTCAAGGTAGATAAGCATCATTCTGTGTCAGAGAAGGGAAGTGGCAAACCCTTCACCCAAAACTTTACACAGTGCGCCTTTAATAATAATATGCATTTGATTTATATGCGTATCATCTTTTAATAATTTACAAATGTTAAAATAAAACAAAATGTGAAAAAAATTTTAGACACACTTTTACCTTTTACTTCCTTTTGCTTTTACTTCCATATGTCCAGGATTATTTACACGTAAACTCTCACTGAAGGCCTCAAAACTACGAATGACTCAAACGGAATGTAGCAAACAAAAAATAAACTCTAAATAACTTGTTTTAAGATAAAAAAAAATAAACAATAAAAAAAATAGCCACCCTTTAGGTTGAAATCTTGTTTGTGTTTCTTTAGCTTTCTTTGCATTTCTTTTTGCATTTCTTTTGCATCTGTTTTCTTTTTACATTTAGTCATCATGACATTGCACTTTTGTAAAAAAAAAAAAAAAATATATATATATATATATATATATATATATATATATATATATATATATATATATATATATATATATATATATATAGAAAGTAGAAAGCACAAAGAAAAATTCACGATTGTGAGGGTGTGTCCAAACTTTTGACTGGTAGTGTATGTTGAGAAAAAACATTTCTTGAACATGCACTGTGTAACTTTTCTGTCATATTCTTTTCATCATAGACATGAATTGATGTGTCTAGAATGTTTCACAGTATGGCTTTAAACCTTCCTATCATCATGGAGACCAAACGAGACCAAGTTACAGGTCAGATCTGTGGAGAGGCGACCCCGCTCACAGTCAGAATGCCTGTTTTTCTAAGTAATTTTAAGATATAAAACCACCTGCAATTGAATAAATGTAAGGTTGAGCTGTTTATTGTCGTATTGTGGAACAGTCCAGGCACAGCCGTGACATCTCCATGGAAACAAGCAGGTAACAGACCTTCAGCCAAAAAGTTACACAGTGCACCTTTAAGAAGCATGTATATAAACCACTTGGCCATTCTGCGCTCCTTCCAGACTTTATTCAAACATCTGTCCCGAACCAAAATCGTCACATTTCAGAACATCTCGTCTAGTTCTGCAGCCTTTAGTAGCTGAAGCACGCCTTAATAAACATGCAGCGCGCCTCATCTAATCGCAGAGCCACAAATGGGAGAAAATTCGGTCTCCTTTTGTCACGCATCCTCCCTGTATTTGAGTTTTACATATTTCTATTCCTGAACTAGAACATGAGCTGCTTTTCATTTGTACCAATGAAAAACAAGTTTGTCTGGTACCGAGTACACCCTCTTTGAAGTTGAGCGTTAATGCACGAATTTGCACATATTACAGCGGAATTTGGCATTGCTTTCTCTCGTCTATTTTTGAATACGCGTTACACGGTTATATTTTAGATAATACAATTCCTCCATAAGTCTCAAAATATGTGGATTGAACAAGACGCATATATGCTTTTTACGGGGTATTAATCCTCTACAGATTACATATTTAGATCACATATTATTTAGACAGATGACGACAATCAGGGTGCATTAAAACTACAGCACATCGCATCAGGTTTGTGAAGTTGTAGTGCATTGTTGTATATTTATGGAGAATTACAGTGTGTGTGAGCTGAGATTTGGATTTGAGAGACTGCTCAAACATTACTTTACTCTAGTTACTTTAATTTAGATTACTCAAACATGCATGGAGGACATCTAAAACCACTTCATGTCAGGTTAGGTCGCTTTATTCGTACCCGTAGGTAAATTTGTTTTGCAGATTTGAGAGGCAGGTCCCACATTTCACATTTCATTCATCTACATTGTGTGCAATAAACGCGTATAAAAACACAATTACAAAATAAAGTTTGTCAGAGCTCCAGTGTAGAATGGCTTTGTTCCATAAACAATTCATCCATCACGCTTGGTTAATAACACAATAAATATTAAATATATGTAAAAACACATGATTTCTCCAAGACAAACATGCTAAAATTGATAGATAAATAGATTACGATTTATTCATAAGTCTGATAGCAGCTGGAACAAAGCTCCTTTTAAAATGATTCGTTCTAGATCTTTAGGCATGTTTTTGATGAAGGAACAACTTTATAACATGATAGAAAACTCAAAAAAGTCAATTGTGCATAATAGTGTGTGTGAACTGTGCTCTTAAAGTTTTAAAGATTTGGGTTGCCAAATGCCAAAGGCCCTGTACTTGATTCTGAAAAATGTGAAAAACAGAACTAGTTTTAAACATTTTAAAGAGTTTGCAGTGGTCCAACTGTATTCCTCACTTACCTTATGTTTTCTGATCACCCGCAATGAGTTTATTAGCACTTTTCACAACTCTCAGAGACCAGTTGCGAAGGTAAAACAACTATCATGCTGACACACACTTCCTGCTTATCCGACAATATAATGCTTTATAATTTGTTAGATGCAGACAGTACACAGTATGACTTATACTTTCTTATACAATATCTATATCTATTATTTCTGTTCAAATACATGATAAATGTACCTAGCCCCTCCACTCAATTTAATTTCTCTCCAGCGACTAAGTCAAGAATCAAAATACACTAGACAGGTCGCAAAAACCCCGGAAGTGCAAGTTTGGGCACCAGCCAATCAGCGAAGAGCTATATATTCTGTGTTGTCAACAATTCCCGAGATCGAGGATTGAAATCCGGAACAAAGAGAATGTTTGGTGAATTTTATCAAAGGGAAAGACGTTATTGCCCTTCTTCCTACGGGATTTGGGAAAAGCTTAATACCCGTTAGCCCCGTTAACGGCGCATTACATGCAGTCAAGCCCAAAATTATTCATACCCCTGACAAATTTTGACTTAAACACTTTTCGTTAAAATGTAAATAAAAGCTGAGAAATATTCCTTTTCCACCATGATGCCTCTTGTACATCATCTTATGTCGTTTCCAATCAAGAAAAAATTTGCTGGTTGAATAAAAGTAATTTTAAGTCAAAATTTGTCAGGGGTATGAATAATTTTCGACTTGACTGTACGTCACAATCAAATAGCAGTGATTGGTTAAATAAAAAAGTACTCGCCGATCGTCGAGCGAACGAATCCTTACACTGCGAGGTCAGACGGTTTCCACAAAGTGAAACCGGCTGATGAATCAGGCTATGATAAACTATGTGTTCATTAAGAATTAAATGTTTTTCATCCTTTATTAAGGCTTATTAAAGATGCACGATGTAACTTTTTGGTTGAGGGTCCTTCACCTGCATGTTTCTATGGTTATTGCTCTGCTTCGAATGTTCCACAGTGTGACATTAAACAGTTCTACCTTACATTTATTTAATAACAGGTGGTTTTATAGCTCAGAAATACCTACAAAAACATTTATTCTGACTTTAAGCGGTTGCCTTTCCACAGATTTGACCTGCAACATGATGACAGAAAGATTAAATGCGAAACTGTGAAATATTTCAGACAATGCAATGACACGTTCATGGAGAAAAGTATTTGACCGACTTCGCACCAGAAAAGCTACACAATGCACCTTTAAGAATCATTAAGGCCTAGTTATTATAAACTAACAGTTATTTAGAACAAACAAGTTTTAGTTCCTGTATATTTGGTCAAACTAAAGCATCTAATTCCTCTTTTGCACTACACTATACCGTAAAATAGTGGTCATAGTGAAAGGGCGTACATAATCCAAGTTTTGACAAATGATTATGAACCTTAACATTAAAACTATTGCCTCCTAGTGGTTTGGTAGATGTAGTCATTTGCAAAGGTATTTTATTCCATTTTATAGTACAGCCAATAAACTCTCATCCAAAAGCAATTTATTAAAAGTTTTACACCAAATGCAGACAGTGCGCAGTGCTCTGATTTAGTCCCCAAATGCTTCTTTTTATACACTGAGGAGGAAAAAAATACTAGTCATTTACAAGTGAAAAATATGATAATGCAGTCTCCATGGAAGCAAGCAAGCTGTGTCTGCTCTACCTGAAAAATTTATAAATCACATAATCAGTTACATTTTTACCAATCTCCGTAAATGATTCACCTTATTGTAGAGGGTGTTGTCATGGGCGTTGTTGTCATTATCGTCTTTCCAACTGTATGGTTTTGCATGTGGCTGCAGATCTCAATTGCAAATAAGATGTATACAGACAACAAAGCCCTTTTCAAAGCACCAGAGAAAAGGCGCAGTGTTGAATCTGTTCACATTAATTACACAAACACTTACTAACTGTGAGACTGCTCTATAAAGATTGTACTGGCCGATAACAATAATAATGACTCGATAGCTGTATTGCCTGATATGAATATTCCAATTTTTTTTAGGTTGTGTGCCCTTGTGTTTTATGTTATTTTTATTTATTCAATATTTTACCAGGTAAGTCAGTTGAGAACACTTCCTCATTTGCAATTACGACCTGGCCAAGAGGCAATGTAAAACAAAAGCACAAACAGAAAACACTTACACATAAACTATAACATGAAACAGTGAATAGAGACAGTAAAACATTTGCAGATTAAAGATATAAAAGTGTCAAAAACATGTGCAATTATCCTGTAAAATACTCTGGATGGAGTTTTTAAAAGTCGACAGAGGTAAAAACGAACTAAGTGTGTGATTCCCAGTTTGTCCTCAGTGCATCAGATTTGTCTTTTTGACGAGACTCATGAGTGAAAATGGAAATAAAAAAGGTTTAAATGTAGTATCAGCGTCTATACTGAAAAATTTGCTGGACTGGATATCGGCTTCCATATATTGATTCAGCCGATATCCTGATTGGACAATACTGCTGGTCATAGTATTTTTGAATTTGCATTTATACAAAGGTGTTCTGTCATTACTTGAGCGATAAATCACAGTTACAGCGTCTGATTTTACTTTTGTTTTAAGGAAATAGATGTTGTTTTCAGTCTCTTCACTGGTATCGGTTGATATCAGGTATTGGCAGATACTTCAAAGTTCAAAGTTAGCTTTATTGTCAGTTTCTTCACATGTACTAGAGATATATAGACATATGTAGACAAGGACTGGGAGAGTGAGAGACCGCTACGTCTGCATCTGCCATGCAAGTCATAACACCATTCAGGTTTTGCTGCAGAAAACTGTTGCAGTTGCGTGGCCTTTGTGTCTCTGTGCAGTTTAACAGGAGGACTGGTCAGGAAGGGTCAGTAAATCTGTGTCAGGGCAGTTTGAGACGATGAAGGGCCAAAAGTGTCCGTCCTCTGTCTCCTGCAGCATCACAGCAGCCTCCAGGGGGCGCCAGGTGAGCACAACGAGAAAGGTCTCATTCTTTCTCCACTGTAGTATTTTTGGTTGGTGATGAAATGGTTCATTCCCTCATAGTGTTTTCTCTGGAAGGTCTTCTGCCACATTTGCTGCCACATATGGTGTGGAAATGCGTGTAGCATCTCAAATGTCCATAGCTCTTAAACACATACCGTATTTTCTGCCCCATAGACCGCGCTCTTAAGCCTCCAACCCCATCAAAAAACGACCAAGCACACCCTATACACAAATCCAATGCTGCACCACCCCGCAGCGCATACAAACCCGCACAGAGCAGACAGCGACCACGCAGCGAAACACACCCGCAGCCACACTCATCACTCCATGAGAACGAGGAATGGAACGGAGGAACGAACCGAAAAAGCGAGTGCAATGTGCCACTTCTAGACACAACTGAACAACCGAATCACTGCGAACACGCCAACAATCCAGCGGTCCCAGACAGCACCCTCCCTACATGCCACAACTGAACAAAGCCGAGAGTCACCGTGAACGCGCCAAACAAAATCCCACTAACCCATCCAACTGTTGTGTTTTGTTTAAAGTCCGGTGCGGTTTATTTGTGAAAAAAGTTTGAAAATAGACCATTTAATGACAGTGTGCCTTATAATCCAGAGCGCCCTATAATGCAGAAAATACGGTACTTGAAGCCATATTATCGAAAATTTTAAACCCGACATATTGGTATCTGCAAATATCATAGTCGTCCACAGCAACAGGCCAAATAAGGATATGGTATTGGCTCAAAACAAGAGGCTACTTTAGAAGAACCTTGTCAGAGCTTGAGTCCCACTGACATTCCCTCACAGTCAGAGCATTGACCCTCATCTTAAACCCTGTTTCTGTGTCTGTGTGTATCTACAGATGAGCTCTGTGGGCATCACTGAGAACGTCAAAGGGGACATGAAGAAGTTTGAGGTCTGGTTCAACGGCCGAGAAGAGGTCTACATCATCCAGGTACTGTTCTGTACTACGGGATAAAGTACATATGACAGCTTTTCATGTCTTTACTATTATGTGGGATATTACCTCAATATTTATCATAGTTTTACATCAGTTATGTCGTAGTTTGTGGGGAAAAGCTTAAAAGAAAAGTACAGAAATACTGGGAGTAGTGGTGAGCTAATTTTAAGGCAAGGCAAGTTTATTTGGATAGCCCAATTCGTACACAAAGTAATTCAAAGTGCTTTACAGAATAAGAAATCCAAATCCAGTGGTGGAGTGTCAGGTCCTGCAAGTCCTTCTCTGCTGACCTAAAAAAATCTCTGAATCACAGACTCTTGTAAATTATATTATTATTATTAAATAATTCCAAATGGTCTGTCCACTTCCTTTCAGAGCTTTTCCGATGCTTGTTCTGCTTCCACACATGTATTTTCATATTAAAGCATTTGACCAATCACATTTCAGCCATCACTTGTTGCTAGGCAGAGTCAAAGTCAAAGAAGAGTGTGTGACGCCTTCAGAATCTGTTCTGCAGGCCCTTGAGCTCTAAATACATGTCCATGAAACTGTTACTTCAACCAATCAGATTTTGAGTTGGTGTCACCAGGGTCTTCCAGCAGGCGTATGACATCACCGGATTCAGACCCGCTGATTGGACAGTCAGAGAGCGAACCAGCCAAAGCAGTAAACTGCATCTGTAGCGGAACCAGGACTAAACCAGGTCTAAACCAGGACTACAGCAGGTCTAAACCAGGTCTAAATCAGGATTACACCAGGACTAATCTTGGACTTGAGCGAGAGAGAGTGAAAGCGAGTGAGAGAGTGTCCGCCAAGCGCGATCGGGCGACAGCTGCACTGAGCACCATGCGGCTGCCGGGGCCAGTGCTCCATGCAGCGCGGTCCTTTCATCTGCGGTCACCCAACAGTCTACACGGGTGCACCTTCGGGCCACTCCCAATAAACAGTCCTGGTTAAGTTCTGGTTTAGTTCTGGTTTAGTCCTGGTTTAGCACTCCTTACTTCTCCGTCCACAGAATCTCCACGGCTCTTTATTCTGTGTATAACGTAACCATAAAATAGTTATTGAGGAGGAGCATCGAGGACTGTTTCAGATGGAGCTCTACTGAAGGCCTAGGTGTGAAATGCACGCTCCGCCACTGATCAAATCACAATAAAAACAAATCAAAACTTGAATAATCATCATAAAATTAAAAAGAGAGAGAGACATTGATTACATAAATTAGAGACAAGAGTGCGGAATGAAAACCTTTCAGTCATATGCACAGCGAAACACACCCGGTTTGAGCCTGGATTTAAACAGCGTCAAAGTAGGGCCATCATTTGACAAAATAAAGAAGTGGTCATGTATTTTATTTGTCAAATCATAAGTATTGTGCAGTTTAGACACGTTTTGACCATGGTTAAGTTATGGAATTACCTCTATAAAGTCTGTATGTCATATTTGCTGCTCGTGTCCAGCCAGGAAGTCAAATTATAAACTTACAACCTACATTAAAAAAAAAAAAAAAAGTATATTATAATGTTTCTATGCAGGCTCTAACTTTGCATACAGTAGAGATTCTACAACAGAATAACAGATGTCTTTTCTATTCTGCGTTTATGGGTGAATTATTGAACCAGTTTAAGCCAGTTTATGGTCTGAGAGAAATATGTTGACCACTTCATAAAACCTTCGGTAAGAACACTTCCATCCTTCACTGAGGACACTACGGATGTACTAAACAGAATTGGATCTTTGCCCAACATTAAAGACCAGTTTCTTGTGACAATGGATGTTGAAAGTTTGTATACTAACATTGAACATCAAGAGGGTTTTTCTGCTCTAAAATATTTTCTTACTGAGAGTGATATTCCTAAATCTGCTTGTGACTTTTTGGTGAAACTTACAGAATGGGTTCTTCATAACAATATTTTTATTTTTCATAGGTGAGCTTTACATTCAAAAGGTTGGGGTCCCAAAAAGTTCTTGTTTTTCGCCTAACTATGCTTGTTTATTTTTGGGTCTTTGGGAGAAGAACTTTGTCCTGAATACAGTCGCTATATTGATGATATTTTGTTGATTTTTAATGGTACTTTACAAGAACTATTGGAATTGCACAAATATTTAAATTCTATAAACCCTAATATTAAATTATTAATGGAATATTCACAAAATAGTATACATTTTTTATATCTCACCATATTTAAGGGGAAAGGGGGGATCGTTTGCATACTACACTCTACAGAAAAGAAACATCACGTAATACTATCCTCTTTCCTCCTATTTCATCCTCAACCAGTGTCGGGGAGTAACAGATTACATGTACTGGAGTTACCTAATCAGAGTACAATTTATGAGTAACTGTATTCAGTTACAGTTACTGTTTCAGTGAGTGGTAATTGGATTACAGTTACTTTGTTGAAATAAATGGATTACAAGGCGGGATTTTCCTGTTTTCACATTATTTTTATTTTATTTTTTTATTTTGTTTTCGGTAATTCCACTCATTGCTGGAAACTAAACCAGGACTAAAACCAGGTCTAAACCAGGACTAAAACCAGTCTAAACCAGGACTAAACCAGGACTAAAACCAGATCTAAACTAGATCTAAACCAGATCTAAACCAGGACTAAACCAGGACTAAAACTAGATCTAAACCAGGACTAAAACCAGATCTAAACCAGATCTAAACCAGGTCTAAACCAGATCTAAACCAGGACTAAACCAGGATTAAACCAGGACTAAACCAGGATTAAACCAGAAATAAAACAGGACTAAAACAGGATTTAACAGGACTAAACCATGCTGCGCGGATGTGTCTCCTGCTCTTCTATTAATAATATTTTTAATACGGTTAAGTATCCTAGTCTTTGCTTCTCTTCAGCAAATCAAGTAATCCAAAGTATTCAGATTACGTTACTCACTTGAAGTAATTTAATGGATTACGTTACAAACTACATTTTGGGGTATGTAATCTGTAATCTGTAGGGGAATACATTTTAAAAGTAACCTTCCCAACACTGTCCTCAACACCTAAAGCGAAACATCCCTTATGGGTAATTCCAACGTCTACGTCGCATTTGTAATCGGGAAGAGGATTTCGTAGAACAGGCAGAGGCTATGTCCAACCGGTTCCTAGATACGGCCTATCAGCTTACAATAGTCAGAAAGGCTTGTGACGTAGGGTTGAAAAAAAACAACAAACAACCTAGTACTGAAACTAGATTGTAATTTGAAGTATGCATATATAAACAATGCTTAAATAGGTTCAGATCAGTTCAGTTAGTCGTCTTTATCAGAACTAACATAAGAACGCATGACACTATTAGAGAAACTACATATTAAAAGTCACATTCTATTCTCTAAAATAAGTGTTTGTTATTATTGTGGTTTCAAAATTTGCAATAGTATGGAGATCAAGTTTGAAATTTTAGTTTGTGACAACGGTAGTGTACTGTGAGATAGATGTTATATTAATCACTTTTTTCACAATAGCTGTAATGTTACAATCATTTGAGGAGCAAATGTCTCGAGTGTGATTTATGTTTTAAGTTTTCCTTTTCAAAAACTGAGATTTTTTAATTTCATTTCTGCCAGTTGTCTGCAGTTTTCTAGCTGTCCACATGATGGCAGTGTTGCACCATGCTTTTCTGTCCAAACCACTTTCTATTTGTAAAAGCAATAGTTCTCCTCTCTCTCCTTCTCTTTCACTCTATCTCTGTACCTCCCTCTCTCTTTCTTTCGCTCTCTTGCTTTCTCTCTTCACTGTTTGTCCATCTTTCTCCTATCCCTCCCTCCTCTCTCGTTCATTCAGTCCGCCCTTGTCTCACTCTTCTCTTCTTCTTTTCGTCTTCCATCTGTCCCTCTCTGTCTGTCTTTCACTCCCTCGCTTTCTCACTCTCGTCTCCTCTTCCTCTCTCTTTCTATCTCTGCCTTTATCTGTCTCACTCACTCTCTGTCTTTCTGTCTTTCCCTGGCTCTCTCCTGTCTCAACTCCCTTATGTCCCTTCTTACTTCTTCAATCTACCTCACCAAGCCCTCAACCGTCTCTCTCTCTATCTCTTTCTCTCTTTCTCTTTCTCTCACTCTCTTCTGACAGTGCCTCTCCTTTCTGCTCGCACTAGCTGAAGAGGATTCCTTTAGCCTATTACTTTCTCTCTCTCCCTACCTTTGTCTCTCTTTCTCCTTTCTTCCCTGTTTCCCTCCCTCCCTCTCTCTATCTCTCTCTGCTCTCTGTATCTCTCTCCCTTCTTCTCTCTCCTCCTCTATTTTCCTTCCATCCTATATGCATTTACTGTATACATCCATAGGCTTTGTCCCACATTTCTCACTTTTTGTCTCTCTCTTGCTCATCAGTTTCTCTTTTCCCTCCTCTCGCTTTCCTTCTCTCTTGTCCCTTTCTTTGCATTCCCTTCACCCCACCCTCTTTCCCCGTATCTCTCTCTTTCTGTCAGTCCGTGTCCAGCTCTTTCCCTTGACTTGATTGTATTGTGTGTTTCTGTAGCCTCCGTCTGTAAAAAGTGATGGAGTATCTGTCTCTCTCTCTCTCTCTACATTCTTCTCTTTCTCCATCTCCCTCCCTTTTTCTATCTCTCTTCCTACCTTCTTAATCTCTCGTTCTTTCTCCCCTTTCTTTCCCTCTCTCTGTCTACCCCTATGCAGTGTTGGGAAGGTTACTTTTAAAATGTATTCCCCTACAGATTACAGATTACATACCCCAAAATGTCATTTGTAACGTAATCCATTAAATTACTTTAGGTGAGTAATGTAATCTGAATACTTTGGATTACTTGATATTGTCCTGCTTTTTAAAACTACATGAATGTAGCAGCGCATCCTGAAAATTTTTGTTTGTTCTCTTCCAATTGTCTGTTGAGCCCAAGTCTCCATGAATAAGAAACAGTTTACTGTCGAGAAGCAAAGACCAGGAAATATTAATATAAGATGTTTAGTCCTGGTTTAGACCTGGTTCAGTCCTAGTTTAGTCCTGGTTTTAGTCCTGGTTTAGACCTGATTTTAGTCCTGGTTTAGTCCTGGACTGGTTTAGTCCTGGTTTTAGTCCTGGTTTAGACCTGGTTCAGTCCTAGTTTAGTCCTGGTTTTAGTCCTGGTTTAGACCTGGTTCAGTCCTAGTTTAGTCCTGGTTTAGTCCTGGTTTAGTCCTGGTTTTAGTCCTGGTTTTCGTCCTGGTTTAGTCCTGGTTTTAGTCTTAGTTTAGACCTGGTTTAGTCCTGGTTTTAGGCCTGGTTTAGTCCTGGTTTTAGTCCTGGTTTAGACCTGGTTCAGTCCTAGTTTAGTCCTGGTTTTAGTCCTGGTTTAGTCCTGGTTTTAGTCTTAGTTTTGATATGGTTTAGTCCTGGTTTTAGTCCTGGTTTAGTCCTGGTTTTAGTCCTGGTTTTAGTCCTGGTTTTAGACCTGGTTTTAGTCCTGGTTTAGTTCCTGGTTTAGTAGTTTAGTCCTGGTTTTAGTCCTGGTTTAGTCCTGGTTTAGTCCTGGTTTAGTCCTGGTTTAGTCCTGGTTTACCTGGTTTTTGTCTTAGTTTAGACCTGGTTCAGTCCTAGTTCAGTCCTGGTTTAGTCCTGGTTTTAGTCCTTAGTTTAGACCTGGTTTAGTCCTGGTTTAGTCCTGGTTTAGTCCTGGTTTAGTCCTGGTTTAGTTTTCCTGGTTTAGTCCTGGACTGGTTTTAGTCCTGGTTTTAGTCCTGGTTTTAGTCCTGTTTTAGTCCTGGTTTAGTCCTAGTTTTAGACCTGGTTTAGTCCTGGTTTAGTCCTGGTTTTAGTCCTGGTTTAGTCCTGGTTTAGTTTTTAGTCCTGGTTTAGACCTGGTTTTAGTCTTAGTTTAGACCTGATTTAGTCCTGGACTGGTTTAGTCCTGGCGTTGGTTCTGGTTTAGAGGCGCACAGGAGAACGGTGGTGTCTGCGCAGTACGGAAAGCGACGTGGGACATAGCCCAAAATGTGAAAATGTGAAAACAGGAAAATACCACAATGTGATCTATTTATTTCAACAAAGTAACTGTAATCCAATTACCACTCTCTGAAACAGTAACTGTAACTGAATACAGTGACTCATAATTTGTACTCTGATTACATAACTCTGATACATGTAATCTGTTACTCCCCAACACTGCCCCTATTGTATTTATCTTTCTCCATCTTTCTCTCTTCTCCCCTTTTCCATTCTATACTGTATTGTGGCTCTTCCTCACTCTCTCTCTCTCTCTCTCTCTCTCTCTCTCTCTCTCTCTCTCTCTCTCTCTCTCTCTCTCCTCCCCTCTTTCCTCCTACATGTCATGACGTATCACAGTTGTTGTGATTATTATATGTATTATACAATGTCTATAGTTGCTACCCTCTCTCTCTCTTTCTCTTTTCCTTCTCTCTCTATCCCTCTCTCTCTCTCTCTCTCCCTTCTATATGCCCTGACTGCATTATATTGTGTCTGTAGTCTCTCTCTCACCTCTCTTTCTCTCTTTCTCTCTTTCCTTCTCTCCCTCCCTCCTCTTCTCTTTCCTCCTATATGCTCTGACTGTATTGTATTGTATTGTCGATATGTTTGTAGGCTCTGCCCCACCTCTCTTTCTCTTTCTCTCTCCATCCCTCGCTCTTCTTCTTTTGCTGTTCAATAATTGGTATATGTATATATTTTTCAGCCTTTTATACACATGTTTTTTATCTCTTTGTCAACTTTGGTCAACTTTGACTGCTTTATAAATAAACTGGATTTGGATTTCTGCTTCTCCATCTCCTCTCTCTTTCCCTCTTTCCTCCTATATGCCCTGACTATATTATATTGTGTATGTCTATAGTCTCTCTCCCACCTCTCTGTCTTTCTCTCTCTCTCTCTCTCTCCGCTCCCCTCTCTTTCCTCTTTCCTCCGACTGTATTGTGTTGTGTCTGAAGTCTCTCTCTTTCTCTCCCTCCTTCTCTCCCTCCTCACCTGTCCTCTCCTCTTTCCTCCTGTACCCCTGACTGTATTATATTGTGTCTGTAGTCTCTCTCTCTCTCTCTCCCCCTCCCTCTCTCCTCCCCTCTTTCCTCCTGTACCTTCTGACTGTATTGTATTAGTCTCTCTCTCTCTCTCTCTCTCTCTCTCTCTCTCTCTCTCTCTCTTTCACTCCCTCCTTCTCCCCTCCTCTCACCTCTTCTCTCCTCTTTTATGTATTATATTGTGTCTGTAGCCTCTCTCTCTTTCTTTCTCTCTTTCTCTCCCTCCATCTCCCCTTCCTCTCTCTCCTTTCCTCTCCTCTTTCCTCTTATATCCTCTGACTGTATTATATCATGTCTGTGGTATCTTTCTCTCTCTTTCTCTCCCTCTATCCCTCCCTCTCTCCCTCTCTTCTCTCCTCTTTCCTCCTGTACCCCCTGACTGTATTATATTAGACTCTCTCTCTCTTAGTCTTTCTCTCCCTCTCTCTTCTCTTTTCTCTCATATGCCCTGACTGTCTCTCTCTTTCTCTCCCTCCTTCTCCCCTCCTTTGTCTTCCGCTCTCTTCTCCCAGTATCTTACAGAAGATACTCTTCTGTAGTATCTTTCTCTCTCTTTCTCTCTCTCCTCTTCCCCCTCCTCTCCTCTTTCCTCCTGTATACTCTGTGTCTGTAGTCTCTCTCTCCCTCTCTCTCTCTCTTTCTCTCCTTCTCCCCCTCCTCTCCTCTTTCCTCCTGTACACTCTGTGTCTGTAGTCTCTCTCTCTCTCTCTTTCTCTCTTTCTCCCCCTCCTCTCCTGTTTCCTCCTGTACACCCTGTGTCTGTAGTCTCTCTCTCTCTCTCTCTCTCTCTCTCTCTCTCTCTCTCTCTTTCTCTTTCTCTCTTTCTCCCCCTCCTCTCCTCTTTTCTTCTATATGCACTCACAGTATTGTACTAGTCTCTCTCTTTCTCTCTCTCTTTCTCTCCGTCCATCTCCCCTTCCTCTCCTCTTTCCTCCTTTATGCGCTGACTGTATTATATTGTGTCTATAATCTCTCTCCCACCTCTCCCTCTCTCTTCCTCTCTTCTCTCCTCTTTTATGCCCTGACCGTATTATATCGTGTCTGTAGTTTCTTTCTCTCCCTCTTCCTCTCCCTCTCCCTCCCGTCTCTCGTCCTAAACCCCCTGACTGTATTATATTGTGTGTATGTCTGCAGGCTCCTTCCATGGACGTGAAGAACATGTGGGTGTCAGAAATACGCAAAGTCCTTCAGGGCCAACTCGAGGCATGCCGAGGTAAACAGCACCTATATATGTTATGTATCCATCACATATGCACAGCTATTGCACAACAACTGCAAAACTCCTACTGCATTTTAATATTTTATACTAACACGTAAGGTTAGCATGTAAAATTGTAATAGTACTCCAACTATTTCCTGGAAACAACCGCAGAATATTGTTGAAGTACACAAGGAAGTATACTACCAGTCAAAATTGGACTCGCTCTCTCAATGTTTTTTTCTATATTCTAAATGTTATTGTTGTACTTTCTGCATTTTAGATACATACAGAAGACATCAAATATATGAGGAAAGAAATATGGAATTATGTAGTAAAGAAAAAAGTAAATAACAACATTTTTTGACAAAGTAAAGGGTGGTTAGTTTGAGAATTTAGTCATAAAATATTGTTTCTGTGTAGACTCTGCACATCTGACTGGGCAACAGGTGCGTTGGAGGAGAGGCACTTAGCTGTTTTTGAAGAAAAACTCCAGTACACTGCCTTATTCTTGAGTTTTCTTTTATTGGCACAACATTTCGGTCCCTCAGACCTTCCTCAGGTCTCTATCTTTAAAAACAGTCATAAAATATTGAACAAATATTATTAAAATATTCAAATTAAAATATAACTTTTTTTAGTTTGGTACATAATTCCATTTACTTCATATATTTGATGTCTTTGGTATGTATCTGAAATGTAGAAAGTATGATATGTGTTTTAAATAATTGATAAACATGCAGCTTGAATCATTTTATACTAAGGCAATGATTCAGATTTGAAAGAGAAAAATGATTCTTTGTTTTCATTATTTGAAGAAACTGCATGTAGTTTTTTTTTTTTTAAAGGTCTTGTATTACAAGAAATGGATTCTTGTTAGCTTTAAGTGATGTTAAAATGTTGTTACCTATTCAAAAACATACCTGGAGTTGTGTTTTATTAAATTCACATGTTTGAGTAATCCTTTATTTGTCGTCTGTCTACATCTCCAAAGCTCAAAATACTCTGTTCCACCTTGTGATGTCATGAATTGGTAGTTTTCAAGTTAACAGCTGCCTTTTAGTTCAGTAGAGATTGGCATTTCCAGGGTTGAAATCAACCAGATGATTCTAGTGAAGATGTATGGAGTTTAAAAACACAGTGGAGCACTTCCTGTATTACCACATGACATCACAGGGTGGAAAAGAGTGTTTTCTGTTTGAGAGAAGAACTCAGCCTAAATATGGAGGATTTGTGTGTTAAACATGTGTGAATGAAACAAAACATAACCCCAGATATGTTTTTGATGAGGAAACAATATTAGAACAAAAGATACTAAAATAAAAGTTGAAATATCACATGAAAAACTAAAGAAGTAAAAGTAGTAAAAGTGTATTTTGCACAGATTTTGAGGTCTAATAAAGCTTCAAATGTCATGATTCTGATAGAGATTTATGCTGCATTATGTACAAGAGAAAAAACAGATTTTTTTTTTCCTTGCAGTTTTTATTTGTATATTTTTATCCATATTCGTATCCTCTGTAAAATGTACTTAAGTAGAGATACCTAAAATGTATACTTAAGTAAGGTACTTTTCTACTTTTACTTTGTTGTCGTTTGTGTGTGAATGGAACAAAACACAACTCAACTCAAGTTTTTGATAAGGAACATTATAACATTATATAAGAGCATAGTGTGGGCCCCTAACTGTGTTCCCAAACATGAGGTAAACATGTTCAAATCAAATATAGCTTTTACATTAATAATTCTAAAGCTGACTCAAAAACATAAACACTGGACATGATGGACAAGTTGTTTATGTTGCAATGTGGTTCTCAAGATGATTATCCAAACAGAACGCAGAATGAGCCTCACATGAGTCTCTCGTTTGGGTCACCCGTTTCAATGCTGAAATCCAGTTAGTTTAAAACTAAAATGCCTCTCTCTGATCTGAATTGTCTCTACCTGAACCCCAGAATCTACAGCCTGTCACGAGTCAGTGCTAGTGCAGCTTTTGCAGCTCAGTGAGGGAATTCTGGAGGTTCTGAGCTTTCACATGAGGCCTGTCCATTTATTGAGAATAAGACAAACTTAAATGTGATTTACCGTATTTTTTGGACTGTAAGTCGCCCCACAGTATAAGTTGCACCAGCCAAAAAAATGCATCACGACAAAGAAAAAAACATATATAAGTCGCACCAGACTTATACCACCAGCATTTTTTCGGAGAAATTTATTTTATAAAATCAGAGACCAGGAAGCGACATTTCATCTCGAAAGGCAAGATAGAATAATAACAATAGGACAGAGAACAACAGGCTCTTAACGTAAAATATTAAGAGTTATTCAGATAACTATAGTACAAACAACATAATGTAACAAGTTTACCAAACTCTCCATCTCACTCCAAATTATTAAATCCATTGAATTCTTCATCCTCGGTGCCACTTTTGATCAACTCCGCCATCTCCAGAGGTAAATGGAGCGCTGCTTCCTCTTCCACATACCTGTCGTCAAACTCAGCTTCAGTTCCAGTTAGAATTTCTGAATCCCAACAGGATGGTTTCGGTTGTCACTGACATCTAGGCTTTGTCGATCCATCCAATGACTTCCAAGAAAATTGCATGGCACACCCGCCCGGTTACCATGAAGCTGTGTTCTCTATCCCCGCCTTTCGCCAGTCCATCAAAGTTTCCCGCTCACTTCTTTCTGCTGCTCACTTACCATTTTCAGCTGCATATTTCACTACTTACAGCAGGACAGAGGCCCTTTCTGCGGGAGACATGCGCAGTAGAGGACGAAGTGACAGAGGTACAGAAGTATCAGATAGTGACACACAAGACTAGAGTGCCCTGAAAATTTTAATATATAAGTCACACCGGAGTATAAGTTTCAGGACCATCCAAACCATGAAAAAAAGTGCAACTTATAGTCCGAAAAATATGGTAGTTCCTTTTTTTATAACAATAAAAGGGAAGGCTACATGCAGTTCCTTTAATCAGTAACAATAGCATTCGTATTGTATAAAAGAAATATTACGTTGAATATGAAGTTCACTTTTTGATTTTTGGCTTTGAGTTTTGATTATATGGTGAAATGGGAACAAGAACGTCTTCCTACCTTTTAAATTCTGAATCTCCCAGAATGTATTTCTTTGTAAATGTATTCAGTAGCCTTCTGTCAGGTCCAATCTAATTCTGCTTGCCTTGATTTAAAAAAATAAAAAAATAAATAAATCCTCATATCATACCACACACTTCCTCAATCCACAATCTTCCCAGAATGCTTTGCTCTGTAGTCTTTGGGCTCAACTCTTTGTTCATTCTGCGGTGGTCGGGGTGGGTGGTCGTGGCTGGCTGCCCCTCTGACAGTGAGGGAGTAGGGGGGAGTATGGGGAGAGTACTGGGGCTCCTGTCAGCTCTCCTCTGCACTGTACTGAACTAACAAGGCTCAGACAGACAGGTAAATTGGACTGGGACAATGGAGAGGGGAGAAACTAGATGTGATGGAGGGGGAGAGGCAGGTTAAACTCAGCTAACACCGGGGCATGTCGGATTGACTTCCTTAAAGGCGTCAGAAAGTACAGGTGAATGCGAAGGAACATAGTACAAAGTCAAGTCAAAAATACAAATTGAACAGAGTAAAGAACACTGTGACCTCCTGATTTCTATTTTGTGTGGTGCATTTGGCCGAGTACAAAATGTCACTTTTTGCCCCTTTTTGCCCCTGAACCTCTCAAAATTTTCAGGTTTAAGACATCATAGATAAAAAATGCACAGTTTTTAAGGCTACGTTTATAATGATGACCGTCTGGACAAAACACGCAAAAGTGGCGTTGCGTCTTCACTTTTTATTCCGTGTTTAGACGAGCGTTTTCAGGAGTAAATCTGCGTGCATACGGTGATGCAAAAGTGTGTGGAATTCGATTGGGTTTGCTTGTACTTAAAGCAACAAGGGCGTCTTTGGACATACAGAAGTTTTCACGCCACACATTTTCATCAGCTACTCGTTCCACAAAGTTGTTCCACCATCGACTGGTTCTCCCAGGTCTCGTCCATATCCGTCTGACTCACCTGCGACGAACTGGTGCATCCAGAATTTGACAGAGCTAATTGCAGATCCTTCTCTGTTCACTAATAGTATCTCTGCAGATTCTGTACATTTGTTGTAATGTCTCTTGTAAGTTTATTAGAGCTGCCAGAGCCGCTTGAAGGTGTGACGCATATGCAGAAAATGATCCAACATGTTTGTTTCTGTGTACTGTATGTATGTGATGTAAATGTGTACGTGACGTGAGCAGATCTGGCCAAAGTTTTGCGTCTTGGGCAGTGTAGACGGAAACGCTACGGCGGAGAGTATTCAACTTTTCCACTCTGGAGGGTGGTTTCAGATTTTTGTGTTTTCAAACCCAAAAATGCCATCACCATCTAAACAAAAGGCACTTCCGATAAAATATTTTGTCATTTTTAGCCGCAAATGTTGTCTCGTGTAAACAGCCTGAGTCGATAAATGAACATCAGACTTTTTTTTAAGCATCATTTGCTGTCAAACTGCATTCGTTGCTGCTGCATTCTTACATTAACATGGCTTGTTACTCATTGCCTAATTTAAATGTTTTTGTTGAGGTGAAGCTGCCAGTAGATGGCGAACTGCAACACATCACACATTCATTTTCTATTTCTTCTTCTTTCTTTCTTCTTTTCTTTTTTTTTAAGACAAGGTTGTAAATCATGTAATTCCAAATAAACAACAACACTGCATGGAATATTCAGTTATCCAAATATTATTTTTATTGTATTACCAATGGAGATTTTTTAGAAGCTAAATATTAAAGTTAGCCTTCATTCACAAGTATTATAATAATATTTATTTATAAAGTGCCTTTTGTGCTTGTTAGCAATTCAAGGTGCTTTCCAGAGGCATAATAAAAACAGAATTACAATATTAGAACAATAAAAAATACAGTGTAATACAGAAGACAGTTAATTACAGTAGAGGAACAAGATAGATTTGGAATGAGCTGGAGTCTGTCGATGGCGTTCCCTGGGAGTCCAGTTAAAACATCTTTGCAGTCGTCTAGTCTGATGGTAATAAAATAAAAGCATGGATAAGTTTCTCAGTGTCATTTTGACTTTGGCAATGTTTTGTAGTATGTAAATGGCAAGTATTATCGTATGATCTCCAATAGTTTATCAGATTGTTTCATGGTGCTTTTGTTTACTTTTTTAAGTTGGTTTTGACAGTTTTTTTCTTGGATCTTTGACACATGTTGCCAATAACATTTCTGATGTTCATTCCAAAGCTCTATCCAACCTTTTCTTGTATATTAACATACATTTCTATAAGTGATGTAACAATAACCGAAATATCATGATATCGTTTCGTCAAAAGTCTCACAATAATATCGTGGGCTGTCATATCGGTTTTATAGTAGCAACAGCTTATAAACATTGGGAACTACATATCCCATGATTCATTTCAGTCCAGACAACATGAAGAAATTTGTTCTTTACTTGAATTCTTGGCATTATGACAATAATAATTCACACCAAAATCTTGTCATGGTATTTTAAAAGCAAAAAAGTGACCTATTTACAATTATATTAGCCTTTTCAAAATATCGCAGTAAATATTGTACCGTGAGATACTGCCAGGCTGGCGACACCTAGTGCCTCTGCTCAGTTTCATTTCTCTCCAGCGACTAGGTCAGGAATCAAAGTACACAAGACGGTTTGCAAAAACCCCCGGAAGTGCAAGTATGGGCACCGAAGAGCCATATATTCAGTGTTGTCAATGATTCCCGAGATCGAGGATTTAAAGCCGGAACAAAGAGAATATTTGGTGAATTTTATCAAGGGGAAAGACGTTATTGCCCTTCTTCCTACGGGATTTGGGAAAAGCTTAATATACAAGTTTGCCCTGTTAGTGGCGCATTACATACGTCACGACCAAATAGCAGCGATTGGTTAAATAAAAAAAGTACCCGCCTACCGTCGAGCGAACGAATTCCAACGCTGCGAGGTCAGATAGTTTCTACAAAGTGAAACAAAGTGAAACCGGTTGATGAATCAGGCTAACCGTGAGATACATATGGTATTAATTAATATTGTACCATCAAATTTGGATATCGTTCCATCCATTGTTCAAAATAACAAGAGGTCTGTCGAGATAGGAGTACACACAAAGGAATAAAATGTTACGCTCAGAGACACAAATGCAGCTTTTGTAAGATTTGATCTGGTAACCTCCTCGTCTGTAGGTGCTTTAAATACAAGACCTCCGTTTCCCCATTCTACAATTGGAATACTGTACAAAATTACATCCGCAAACATTTGTTTTAACAAAATAACCTCCCCTCCACTCATCTAATTCACTACACCAATAATAATGACACCATGTTTATTTTATGCCAGCCTCTTCTCCTCACAGCGCAGAAAGCAGCATTACAGAGCATTATAAAACCTTATTATTTAGATACAGCGTGGTGTGTGTAGTGCTCCACCTCCACTGCTTTCCATTCAAATGTGTCTTATTTCATTTTATAGAGCAACAAAGTGCTTTTTATCCGACTAATAAAAGACGTTTACTGAGCGGACGCAGCAGTTTGGGGGAGTTTGGGAGAGATCAAACAGAGATGGAGTGGGCCGGGAACCTGCTGTGGAAAAATGTGCCACAGCTTAAAGAATGGTGTAAAGACGGAAAAGAAAAAGCAGCAGAGTCTGTGTTTTGGTGAGGGGTGGGAGGCGGGGGGGGGTGTCTACGGAGGAATGTTTAGCAGTTGCCATGGCGACACAACGCTCGCATTAGCAAACGCAGCGTGATGAGATTTTAGATGCTCTGAAAACGGAGGAAATAATACAAAGCCTGTGCTGACAAAAAGGTGAGAGTGACTAACGGAAAAACTGTTGTGATAGGGACAGCACAGATCGGCTCACCTGTTGTAGCTCCAACTAAGTCAGGACTTTTAGGTCAGATCGGTAAAAAACAAAGCTCAGAATAAAGTCCAATGAGTAACAGAGCTTCAGACGGAGCAGTGCCTCCAATTTGTAACCTACACTAGATCAGAGTATGAAGAGCACCAAGGCTGTGAAATAATGTTGTTTTTTTTGTTTGTTTGTTTTTTTAATTTAAAAGGTGCACTGCGTAACATTTCTCATGGAGGATCCGCCAACCGCTTGTCTCGATGGAAATGTTATTGCTTTGCTAGAATGTCCGACAGTATAGCTTAAACCAATGTTTCCCAAAGACTGGGTCGTAAGAGATTTTTTTGGGTCGCCTTGTCATGATCTGCATGTTTGTCTACAATATATAGTTCTGACACATTGTTTTGTATAATTTCTAACCTTTTGTAATTATTTTATTGACTATTTTGTTCCAATTTTGCTGGTGCAATTGAATGTTGAAAAGAAAAAGAAATGGGCTACATTTAATGTCCAAACAGGCGACTTATGGATCATCTTTTCATCTTTATTCCGGACTCATGGTCCACTTTTAAAACAGACAAGGACAGTGACATTACAAAACAATAAACATTTAGGTTTTTAAAAGACAACCATACCAGTGTCTCTACATATTGGACTGAGATCTTATTGCACTGAATCTCAAACTGTGTGTGACATTATTATTTCTGATTTGTTCAGTCTGCAGATAAAACTGTACATTAAAATTCTAAGTGCAACATGCAAAGTGTTCACTCGTACAATAACAAACATCTCAGTTGCAGTCGTCCATCGTGGCCTCCTCAAAAGCAGCCGTAAAGCGTCATTGCAGGCCACCTGCAGTCTTTGCAAATTTACTTTTTTATAATGAATCCAGAGGTGAGCTGTGTACAACAGTGTACAATATGATTTAAACAATAACAACTTTACATCATTTGTACAAGTTCCTTTTATTGCTGGTTCAGTTGAAGTTTTTTGTTGTTTAAAACTTGACTAATACTAATTGTTCAGAGAGACACGATCACTCAGTCAACAATAAAATATCCTCATTAATGTTCAATAATGGTCAAATCCACCTTTATTTTATGATTTACGAATAACGTTTAAAGGTTTGTGACATCTAAAATATGGGTCCCCAGAAAAAAAAGTTAGGGAAACACTGGCTTAAACCATAATCATAAAGGAGACAAGCGGATTTCAGCACTGTGCTACATTACAAATCAGATCTGTGGAGAGTCGCCCCTGTTCACAGAGAGAATTATTGTACTTTTGAGCAATAGAAACACTTGTAATTAATGTCATACTATGGAACACTCCATGTGGATAAGCAGGTAGCAAACCCTCCACCAGAAAAGTTGCACAGTGTATCTTTAAGCCCAGGCCAGTACAAATCATGTATAATATTTCTTCTTTAAATACATCCAGTTAACAAGAATTTAAAAATATACTTTGAATATGATTTAAATACTTATAAAGATTAAAAAAAAATAAGTGATTATGTACAATATTTCTTCTTTAAATACATCCAATTAACGAGAAATTAAAAATATACTTTGAAAACAATTACATATTTATTCAGATAAAAAATAAGTGATTATGTGGTTTGATGTACAGTACAGTATATTCCTGTGTTTTATTAATTTTTATTAAACGTTATTTTGTATTTTCACAGAGGCAAGTCACCAAAAGTTTTCCGACAACATCTACGGAGGCCCCATCAGGTAAATCCCCAACAATCCACACACATCCCTGATACACCTGCAATATACTAGAGTGGTTTGGAGTTAGTGGATTCATTATATAGTAAGTAATCTGGAATAATTCTTAATAAACTATTTGTTCATTAGGAATTAAGTCTTTGTTCATATTTTATTAAGGCTGCTAATTAAGGGGCCCATATTACGCTATTTTCTGATTTGTTATAATGTTGTTTCTTCATCACAAACATACCTGGAGTTGCGCTTTGTTTCATTCACACATGTTTAACACACAAACCCTACATATTTAAGATATTAAATTACTCTCTCAAACCGAAATGGATGATTTTAGACCTGGAATTGCCAATTTCTTCCCAACTGAAGGCAGCTTTTAACTTCAAAACCATCTCAAACCATCACCAATAGTAGCTTACCATCACCAGGGTATAGAGTGAATGAATGAATGCTGAATGAATAATGCTGAATAAAGTGTAAAGCGTCTTTGGGGACAAAAAATGTCTGTGAAAGCGCTATATAAATAAAGACTTACTTACTTACTTACTTCATGACAACATCACAAGGAGGAACAGAGCATTTTGGGTTTTGGAGACATAGACTAATAATAAAGGGTTACACGAATATGTGTGAATGAAACAAAACACAACTCCAGGCATGTTTTTGATGAGGAAACAACATTATAACATGACTTAGAGTGCACAGGAGTCAATTTTTGCATAATATAGGACTTTTAAATTGTAGTTATTATAAAGTATAAACTACTATTGTTAACAAAACAAAAGAAAATCTGATATTCATTTTTGTCAACATCGCCCACCTTTGCTTTGCTTAGACTCCAGACATTTGAATATCTTTGTTGTTTTTCTTGTTGTTTTAGGAACGTGAAGAAGATGGCTCTGAGGCAGTCCGATTCTTCTAGTCCAGAGAGCGGCTTTAAGAGGACCAACCCCAGTCCCAACACCAGGCAAAAGAGAAGTATGTGAATATATATTCTCTCAATTTGCAGTGATCCGTGTTAAAAATCGTCTAAAAGAGTCATTTATAGAAGGTCCAAATGTTGCTCGCGTGTGTGAAAAGTTGCCCGCTGATTATAGACCCATTAACCTTTGTGTAAACAGAATACATTTGTAGGCAAAAACAAACAAAACTATGCATCTCTGTTGTGTAATTTAGAAAATGTGATGACCACCGTTCACTTTCCAGCATATGGCTACTGAGCTAAAACGGTGTCCCAAACCACAAATATTGAACCAGTGCCGTTTTCAGTTCTTATATTTCAGTGAAAAACCCGAAGCATGAAATCTCTGGTGTTAGAGCTGATACCAAAAGTGCTAAAACGTGCACTTAACTTCTATTATTTAAAATGTGTGCGTCAGCTGGGATGGTTTTTGCCGGACTAGACGGTAAATAAAATCAAGGATGGCTCTCGCGTGCAGTAGTGGCGTGTTTGTGTGTTTGTGTGGTGTTAAAGGCGTTACTATTGTTAAAACAAGGTCAGAGTGAAAAAGTCAGTGCATCAAATTTTAAGCTCAGTTTTTCTAGTTTAGTCACATTTAGGTATTTTGACCTGGTTTTGAAGTTGTGTGTCGTAGCTGGGTGTTTTAACGCATTTTATCTGAAAATCTCAACGAAGCACATTTCAGTATTTAACCCTTCCAGACCTAAAGGCAATTTTAGTACATTTGTCCTCGCCTTAATTTTGCAATTAAAACTCCCCCTTTTACCCTGTAATGAAGTGTTATACATGCTTTTTTCAGTACAACCTGTTATTTCATAATCTGCGTGCTGTGGTGGTGCTGTAATAAAAGCTACAGGACCAGAAATACAAACGGGGGAAAAAAAAAGGAAAATAAAAATTCACAAAACACATACCAAACATGTGTAAACAACATTTTGGATATGAAAAATGCTTAATTTAGGGCCTTGGCTTCAAAAGTGCAAAATATCAATTCTGTAAGTATATTTAAAAAATTCCTTATTGCCCTCAAAAACAAAAACAAAAAGAAAAGTGTAACGTTTCCATTTACTGGTGCCAGTCATGGAAACAGCTCGTGTCAGGTCCAGGGCACAGACCCACATCACTTGCATTTCCATCGTGTATATAACATTTGGATTTGTACATTTTGATTGAAATAAACGTTTCAAATAAAAAATAACAAGGGATGCGCAAGTTCTCAGACCAAGATGCATAATTTCTCATTTATTTGAGAAATAACTGCACTTAGAGCGGCTTTTTCAATTGTTATGAACACAGAAGCTCAGAGCAGTCGACCATCTTGACTCGCTACACTCTTTGGCAAAGTTTGGGCCAATCAAAACGTATAAAGCACATGCATCTGGTGGAAAGCAAAGTTCCTACTGGACACTCGTTTTTCCTACATCATCAAGGCGCATGGGTGTGATGTGGGATAATGCCGGAAATGTGCTCAGAAAGCTGAAACTCTCCAAAAAGTTTCTATCTTTTATAGTTGGAAAGTTACGCACCGTTACGTAGAACATGTCCGCCATCTGGAAGGGTTAACAGTACGTTGTGTAACTTTTCTGGTGGAGGATCTGTCAAATATTTGTTTCCATGGAGATGTTTTTGCTTTGTCTGGAATATTTCACAGTATCATATTAAACCTTTCAATCTTCACGGAGACCAAACCAGACCAAGATACAGGTCAGATCTGTGGAGAGCCAACCCCACTCACAGTCAGCATGTATGTTTTTCTAGATATTTTGAGCTATAAAACCACCTGCAATTGAATAAATGTAAGGTAGAGCTGTTTAATGCCATACTGTGGAACATTCCAGGCAGAACATCAGAAAAGTTACACAATGCACCTTTAAGTGAAATACTTGTACACCATAATTTTATAGGTTATACAGTATATTTAAAATCGCAATATTGATCTAAAATGGCCAAAAAAGTGCCGCATTACTGAAACACCCTGATGGTAGTGAGAAGTGATTTTTAAATTTTTTGGTGCCAAAATGGCTCCCCCACGCTGTTGAATCTTCTGTGTTACTCCATTATAAATCTATTTTAGAAAAGGAGCAGCGGGCGTGTATGGGGGTGTCTGTGAAACCAGGGATTATCAGAGCTATGGCGTCTTGACAACAACAATTACTCAAACATGCATGAATCACTCCAAATACAACTTCGAGAGGGTAAATGAAAAAGGAAACAACTACGCTATGCTTAAAAGCTCGTCAACGTCCATTTTGAATACTAGACTTAGACTTAAACTTAGACAGAATTTATTGATCCTCAAGGGAAATGACTTGAAACTGTAACTGAGACTGAAATATTGCACCATGTTTCATAAATAATAATAACACAGCTTTGACTTGCATCTAAACTAGAAGTGCTCTGATCTTTTGAATACTCAAGAGTCTCAAAGCGAGTTGTTTTACTGTAGACAGGAAACAGTTGACATGAGGTTCGCTCACAAATTTGTAGCCATGGTCCGCAGTCATATCCCAGTGCAGTCTTTACGATCGGAGATTTAAAATCTCGTAAGATTCTTCTCTCGTCTGTGGTGTGCGCTTTTTGTCGCACATTTAAAAATCATACAAGATTGAAAAATCCTGTAGTGTGTGGCGACCTTTAGTCTACGTCTTAACATTATGTAATATCGAACTGGTATCGGTATCGGCAAGTACACTAATGCCAAGTATCGGATCGGATCCCCAAAAATTTTTATCGGAACAGTATTACTTTTGAGTGCAGTTTTAGTCAGACGCAGAGATTAGGAGTGTAAGAAAAAAATGATTCAGTGATATATCGTGATACGTTGTTGCCCAATTCTCGAATCAATTCAAAATGCATCTGAATTTATTTATAAAAACAGTATTTTTCACAAAAATGTGTTAATTACATTCACTGTTCTGATGATTTAAATATTTTTATGAATTATAGTTTGTACAATTGTGTTCTCATGAAGGTGAAGTTGACTGTATTATTAGAAGTAATGACTGATAAATCGCAATATATGATCCATTGTTTTAGTATCTAGTATTTAGTATCTATTTAGTATTTAGTAGTAGGATATATGGTGATATATTGAATTGGGACATGCATATCATGATATATATTGTATCATCAGACTCGAGACAATACACACCCCTAATAGAGATACGTAATAATTTTGAGTCGACCAAGAATTTATTTTACTGACTGCATCTCTAGTTTTCTTTAGTCTTTACATCCTCACACCTTACTCCATATCAAGGAGAGGATCACCACACCCGCTGCTCCAAACTCATCCCCCAGCGACCCAGAAGAATGGGTCAAATCCAGACTTCACTTTTTCCTTACCACAAACCCGAGCTCCCAAAATACCAGCTGGCTCTAACATTGTCGCTGAGTGCACTATGTTCTTCTGTACCTTTTCTTTGGTTCTTTCTCCTCATTGATTCCTCTCATCCGCCCGTCTCTCCCTGTTTCGATTTGTTGTGATGGCCTAAGCTGCTCTAATGAACGGTTTGGGGACGGCCACTGAAGGCAGAGGAACAATCGAGCAGGTTCAGTTACAGCTCTGTGCTAAGAGGAGGGCTTTTATCTTTGTCTGTCTGTACTACACTGAGGAGGAGGAGGGAGCATTTTTTGGTGTTTTTTTCTCCGCACAGAAGAAGAAGAAGAAGACTGTATGGGTTCAATTCAGTTAACTTTTCTATCATGTTATAACGTTGTTCCCTCATCAAAAACACGCCTGAACTCGTTTTAGATATTATCCGTGCATGTTTGAGTAATATAGCGATCTCTCCTGGGTCCTATTCGAACCGTCTTTACATTTAGCGGCAAGATTCTGTTCAAAGCTCCGCCCACAAGCCCACGTCACCCATAAACCCACGTGACAATCCTCCATAAATATACAAAACACGCTACAGAATGCACAGTTGTTTCATTATGCGGATTGTGTTGTGATAGTGCTCTGAAGGAGGAGTAACTTAGCGCTGAGAGCAACTGAGAGCTCAGAGTGTCAAAAATGAAAGTCAAACATTTTTATTTGTTGTTTCTGGTGAATATATCAATTAAAAACGGTAAAAGGTCACATAAAAGTGTAATGTCCCCTCCATAACGTACAGTATTTGCATCTCTCTCTTTCTTTCTATCTCTATCAATCTGTCTATATTTATTCAGCAGCCCCTCTCTTGTTTCTCCTCTCTTTCTCTCTTCTGTTTCTCTCCTTGCTCCTTCTTTTTTTTTTTTTTTTCTCTTCTCTCTCTGGCTAGAAAGATCATGCAATGCATGCCCTCTACCTCTCTCGTCACCCTTTCACTCTCCTCCTTTTTGTTTTCTCTTCTCTCTCTCTCTTTCTCTCTCATTGTCAGTCATTCTTTCTCTCAGCCTCTCCTGTCTTACTTTTTCTCTCTCCTCTCATCTCATCACCTCCCTTTCTTACTCCTATCTGTATATCTAGATACAGTATATATCTGTCTTCTCTCTTCTCTTTTTCCTATCTTCTCTCTCCCTGTACCCCTCTCTCCCTTCATCCCTTCATCCCTCCCTCTTTCCCTCCGTCTCTAGTCTCTCTCTTTTGCTCTTCTTTCATCTCATCACTTCCATTTCTTATTTATATATCTATCCAGCTACAGTATACGTCTCTCCTTTATCTCTCCCTCCCTCCCTCTCTCTCCCTCTATAGTTTTTCCCTCGCATTCTCTTCCTCCCTTGTCTTTCCCTCTCTTTTCTCTACCCCCCCTTCTCCTCTCATCTCATCATCTTCTTCTTTTTTTTACTTCTATCTATATATCAGTCTTAGCTGTGTATCTCTTTTCCTCTTTCCCCTTTCTTTCTCTTTCTCTATCGCTTCATCCCCCTCTTCCTCCTTCTCTCCCTCCCCCTTCTCTTTATTTCTCTCCTCTCTCATCTCATCCCCTCCCATTCTTTCTCCTATCTATATATTAGCTATCTAGCTACAGTATCTCTCTCTGTCTGTCTTTTCCTTCTCTCTCTTCATCCCCCTCTTCTCTCTCTCCCTCTCTAT